TGTCATTGTTAATGTTTGCAACAAGATCTTGAGCGTTGGAGCTGAGAGTAGATGCTGGTGAACTGCTCATCTGCTATATGTTAGGCCCTGGGTTTGATTTCCAGTGCCCTAAGGCCAAAAATAAATAAAAAGACAAAAACTCAGAGCTGGGCTCTGGTGGCTCACGCTTGTGATCCTAGCTACTCAGGAGGCTGAGATCTGAGGATCACAGTTCAAAGCCAGCCCGGGCAGGAAAGTCCGTGAGACTCTTATTGCTAATGAACCACTAGAAAACTGGAAGTGGCGCTGTGGTTCAAATGGTAGAGCGCTGGCCTTGAGCTGAAGAGTTCAGGATGGCGCCCAGGCCCAGAGTTCAAGCCCCACAACCACCACCACCAGCAACAAAAATTAACAACAAAACAAAACTCAGAGGGAAGGCCCATTAGTGTAGCCCACGCTGACGCTGACTCTGAACTCGGGATCCTCTTGCCTTGAGCAGGGCTGCTGGGATTGCAGGTGTGCGCCACCACACTGGTTCTTAGCAGCTTTTTTTTTTTTTTTAATGTAGCTATTAGACATTATTATTTCTAGACAGGGTCTTGCTGTGGTACTCAATTGTCCTGGGTCACATAACTGAAGGTGTGTCCGTTTGTCCTTGCGGCTTTGAATCATGTCTGTGTTCAGGAATGCTCTAACATGAGGCTGGAGGGCCGTAGTAATATGCCACGCCGTCATTTGTGGGGGAGGCCGTTGGTCGGTGGGGCCATGGCGGGAGGGGGGTGGTTCTCACTAAGGGAGCTGGGGTAGGGGAGGGGAGGCTGGGACCAGGAATGGGTTTGAGGTAGAGTAGCCAGAAGACTGAGGTTTCTGGGAGGTGAGCGGAGGGGGCAGGACCCTGCCCTGAGGGGTTGTCCCCCCCCCCAAACACACGCATCAGGGCTTGGAGTCCCCCATTTACCTTCCATTCTAAGCCTGACCTGCGGCCTCCTGCAAGCGGGTTGACCAGTTCCCGAGCAGAATGTGCGGGTGTCCTTTAACCCCGAGTCCCAGAAACAAGAGCAGGGGCCTGCCCAGCCCCCATGCCGCCCCGAGGCCCCATCGCTGTCCTCGATGTCCCCCCTTTCTCCCAGCCCCCCACCGACCCAGTGCGCTCTGCAGGCTGGGAAGAGCTGGGCTGTGGTTCAGTTTGCACCCACAGAACTACAGGATTCCCCCTTCCCTCCCCGACCTCCTGTTGCTCTGGTTTCTGGGCTGCGCGCCCCGGTCTGTAGTCTCTGCTCACTCGCTGCTGCTCTACTTGGACTTGTCCAGTCCAGGCGTCGCCTCCTCTGGGGTCCTGACTTGGGCTCTCGTTCCCCGTGTCTCTGTGCTCTCCGGTACAGCAGGGGAGTCAGGACTGGGGACAGACCCTGGGCTCCTGGGATGTGCGTGGAGATGACACCTCTGAGTCCTTAACCTCCCACACCAGCCCCTGCTGCTCTTTTCCCTTCTGCCAGAGGATGGGGGGCGGGGGGGGGGGGGGGGGGGGGGGCTGGGGCCTTGAGAGGCCGCATGGAGCAGAGCCACATCTGTGGCCTGAGCAGCCACCCCGCGCTGTTCATCTGCGCAAAGCCCTCTTCCGATTCTGCTGAAGCCCTCTTCATGGCTGGAGAGTTTCCACGGCGATTGTGCCTCAGCCCTCAGGAACATTCTCCCACTGTTCAAAGCTTGGGTGCAAGAGAGAGTAAGAGAGGCAGGCTCAGAGCTGGGTGGCAACTCGGAGATGAGGGAGGGAGGCGCAGGGAAGCTATCCAGCCATTTTTTTCTAGCTTAAAGCATCTAGACTCAGGAAGATCACATGCTCAGGATGGTTTTTGAGACAGGAGATCGCTGCTGCTCCCCAGGCTGTACTTTGCCTTCGGGGCTTAAATGATCTTCCCCTCTCGGCCTCCTGAGTGAGTAGTGGAGACTACAGGCGTGCGTCAGTGCACCTGGCCTGCATGCTCAGTTTTGGAGATAAACGTCTTGGAGACAATTGGGGAGAGATGTTCAGGGACAGATACTGAAATCCGTCCTGGTGGCCAGGGGCATGTGGATGTTAGTGGAAGCCCCCAAGAGTTGAGTAAATAATTGAATTGTTGCAGAATGCGAAGGTCAGGCTGAAAGTGAGTCTTCCCGGGTCTCTGCTCAGTGGCAGTGCAGATGCATTAAACACAAGAGTCTCCGAGGCTGATCTCTGTAGGAGACTCCTGTCAGCGCCAGCCAGGCCCTTCCCAACTTCACTGCCCGTCTGCAGTAGAGGGTCCGCCCATCTGCCTCCTCCCCAGTGCCTAACCTCTCACCTGGAATGCTGTATCTACAGGAGAGACCTGGCCAGGCACACACGCCCGCAGTCCCAGCCACACACACAGACTTCGGCTCCGGTGGCCTGAAGACTGAAGGGTTGTTTCTTCCTCCCCGTCCCCTCCTTCCTCTCCTCCCCCCCCCCCCACTCCTCTTCCTCCTCTTTTCTCCCTTCTCCTCCTCCCTCTTCCTTCTTGCATTACCTAGGCTAGCCTCCAACTCCTGGGTTCAAGTGATCCTCCTGCCTCAGTTTCCTGATTAGCTTGAATTACCACCATGCCCACTTAGTGTCCATTGGGGGTGTCCACACGGAGGAGGTGGACGTGGTGCAGGATTGCCTCAGGCTCTGGTGGATTCTGATCTTGTGCAGTCCAGGCTCAGAGTAAGGCCCTTCCTTGGGATTCCAGGAGCTGGGGATTGCTGAGAACAAAGCTCACCAAGCAGAGTGGCCAACAGCAACCGAACGCTACGCTGCGATGATTCTGAAGGCCAGACATCCCAGATCAACTTCCTTTCTACACGTAGCTTCTGCTGTTCTTTGGCTGTAGACACAAGCTCCAGGCTCTGCCCCACGGATATGTGGCTGTTTCCCTTGTGTTTGTTACCCCCTCCTTTATTTTTTTCTCCTCTTCCTCCTCTTTTTAAAACTCTACCACTTCTGATTTTTGTTTGTTTGTTTAATTGGAGATAAGAATCTCACTCTCACACCGACTTTTTTTTTTTTTTTGGCTTGGGCTGGGTTTGAACTTCAACCCTCAGATTTCAGTTTCCTGAATAGCTGGGATTACAGGTGTGAACCACTGGTGCCTGGTTTTGCAAGTGAAATTTTGGGTCGAGTACAAAGGCCTGGATGCAGGCTGGAACTGAGGAACCCTAGCAAATAAAAGACTCAGTCAAGCCTGAGTGGCCTTATCAAATGATCAGGTGATGTGGGCTATTTACAGCTAACTGGTGCAATGTCTTCCTTGTACTGGGGCTCCAGCTTAGGGCTTAGGCACTGTCCTCCTCCCTTTTTTTTTTTTTTTTGCCAGTCCTGGGGCTTGATGCTGTCTCTGAGCCTCTCTGCTCAAGGCTAGCCCTTTACCACTTGAGCCACAGCGCCACCTTCTGGCTTTTTTCTGCTTATGTGGTACTGAGAATCCAACCTAGGGCTTCATGCATGCTAACCCAAGCACTCTACCACTAAGCCTCTACCACTAAAACTGTTCCTTAGTTTTCTTTATTCAAGGTGAGTGCTCAACCATTTGAGCCACAGCTCCACTTCTGGCTTTTTGGTGGTTCATTGGAGATGAGTCTCATGGATTGCGATCCTCAGAGCTCAGCCTCTTGAGTACCTAGGGTTACAGGCTTGAGACAGGTGCCGAGCCTAGAATAAATCTTTCCTAAATTGTTCCTGTTAGGTCTTTTGGTCATGGCACTGATGAAACTAACACAAAGTCTTACCATCAAGCTTTATCGCCTTACCAAGTTTGTATGGAGTACACGAATTCCAAAGTAAAGAGCGTAAGTGGACCTTTTGGGGGGGGGGGGTGAACTGGAGTGCACTTGCCCATTCTGGGTGCTGCTGGTGGTAGTGAGGGGGTGATGATGTTTGCAGTGCAATATAGCCAAGCTTTCAGACTTTTCTCTAGAAAAGCTTCAGTGTCTCTCTCCTCCCCCCCGTCCACAAGTCATGTTCAGTTGTCATTTTTCATCCTTAGGAAAAGCCCTCTGGATGGAGTGAGTTTGTTCATAGCCACGGGCTATTCTGGGATCCACTTCATTCATTTCTACACTGGTGATGGTGCCATCTTTTATAGGGTAGAGACCAGATGAGAAAAATATTTCTCAGTCCCTCACGTCTGGCCTGGCTTGAGTGTGAAAACCCAGTTATTTGTGTTGTGTTGCCATTTAGTAATCTCCAGGCTTCAGAGGTTATAATCCTGGTTGGTTTGGGGTCTGCCACTCATCCTTATAAAAGGAATATCCAGGCCTTTAAAGTGTGTAGTCAAAAGACATAAAGGATTGTGCACGCAGGCTTACACCAGTACTGACGCTTGAACGCAGGGCCTGGGCGTTGTTCCTTAGACCTTCTGCTCCAGGTGCTGTACCACTTGAGCCACAGTTCCACTTCTGGCTTTTTGGTGGTTAACTGGAGTCTCACCCTTGGCTGTTGGCTTCAAACCTTGATCCACAGATCTCGCCCTCCTGAGTAGGTGGGATGACAGGCGTGACCCACCAGTTCCTGGCTTGCATTTTCTTTTCTCTTATTTAATATTAGAAAAAGGCCCCAAGTTTGTCACCGCTCCAAATCTCAGGGTGTACTTTTCTTTTCCTTCTTTCCCTGATTGTTTCTCTTAGAAGATAAATGTTAGCAACACATAAGTGAACTTGGAGGGAAGTAATAAAAAAATCAAGTGAGCAGGTACCCCGGTACCGGATCGAGGCGCGGAGCTGGCCGGGCGGCTGGCGGGCCGCTCCTCCGCAGGCTCAGCGGCGGGACCCGGCCGCCGGAACCGGCCGCCAAGCCCAGACTGGCGCGCGTTCTAAAATGATGACAAAGCCCGCCCCGAATCCGGGACGCGCGCGCCGCCCGGGCCAATGGGCAGCCAGAATGAGGTTGAGCGACGGGCGGGCGCCAGCCAATGCACACACGGCTTGTTGTGAGGTGGCTCCGGCTCCGGCATTATAAAGAGCGCCACGAGTCGGCATTGTCAGGCGGCGGCACCGCGCGGGGCCGGGTGGGGGCGAGGGTGTTTTGGCGGCAGCTGAGGAGGAAGCGCGGTGGGGACGGCTCCGTCGGCGGGCGGAGGCGAAGCCGGGGTAGCGCAGGCTTGAGCGGGGCCGAGCCCGGGCACCTTCCCCGGCGGGTGGGGGACGAGCGGCGCCCGGCGTCATCGCGGCGAGGTGAGCGGCCGGGCCTGCGGGCCGCGGGGCGGGAGTCCGGGCGGGCCGCCGGCCTCGGCCTGACGCGCGGTTGGGCCCCGCTCGTTTGCAGGAGCCGCCGCGGCCTGGTCTGCCATGTCGGAAGCAGGAGAGGAGCAGCCCATGGAGACGACGGCCGCCGCCACCGAGAACGGACACGAGGCCGCCCCTGAAGGCGAGTCCCCGTCCTCCGGGGGGGCCGGCCCCGAAGCGGCGGCCGCGGGGTCCGGAGGTGGGGCGGCGGCGGCCCCGAGCGGGAATCAGAACGGGGCCGAGGGCGACCAGATCAACGCCAGCAAGAACGAAGAGGACGCGGGGTAGGTGCGGCCGCGGCGGGGCCCGGGCGCCGCCTTTGTTCCGGGGCCGCCTTTTGTTGGCGCCACGCGGCGGGGGGAGGGGCGGCGGCCCGGGGATCGGCTCCCGGCGCGCCGGGCGGCGGCGGCGGCTGCGGGCGGCGGCGGGCAGCGGCGGCGGGGCCCGCCCGCCCGCCGGGAGTTTGCCGGGAGTTTGCCGCTGGACTTTGGCGCCGCCCCGGAGTCCCTTCGCGTTGCTGCCCGGGGACCGCGAGGCCCGGAAGAGGGGAAGGAAGCGAGCGCAGGAGCCAGGGCCTTGGTCGGGGCTGCGGGGGCGGAGTTGGCGCGCGCAGGGCCCGGGCCTTCCTCCTCCTCCTCCTCCTCCTCCTCCTGCCAGGGGGTGGGGCCACGGCTGAACCCCTTGCGTCCCGGCCCCGGGGCAGCCCTGGAGTTTGGTAAGGGAGGTGGCGCTTAAAAGTTGGCGTGCGTGTAAAAAGACACATGGGCTTCTAGTTGTGGAGCGGTCAGGGCGCAGACGCCCGACCAGGTGTGTCGTTTGCCTTCCCTCGGCCTGCGGGTATGTGTGTGTGTGTGTGTGTCTGTCTGTCTGTCTGTCTGTCTGTCTGTCGCTGGGCTTTGTTAGAGGCCAAGTTCAGTTGAGATCGGAGGGCTGCCGAGAGGCTCAAGCACACGGCCGCGATTCACACTCTGCAAGCACCCAAAGGCGGGTGCAGACTTTGTCCACAGGGGGCCAGTCTCAGCTCTTTTAAGACCTGTTGTCATGTGTCTCGCCCTACCATTGCAGAAAAATGTTCGTTGGTGGTTTGAGCTGGGATACCAGCAAAAAAGATTTAAAGGACTATTTTACTAAGTTTGGAGAAGTCGTTGACTGTACAATAAAAATGGATCCGAACACTGGACGGTCAAGAGGGTTTGGGTTTATTCTCTTCAAAGATGCTGCCAGTGTGGAGAAGGTAAGCTCTGTACTGTACACCACAAGTCTGCTCTGCAGTGGTGGTTTAAGGGCAAGTAGAAAGGCTAGGGACATTGTTTCTGAGGGGGTAATAAAAGCAGGTATATGTGCTGGAGTGGCACAGGATTGTTTACAATTGTTTATTGCACTATATTGCTCTGCCTGAGTATGCTGCTGTACTTTACCAATGAGGAGAGTCTAGTATCAATGAGAATAAATGTTGAACCCCATCTTTAGGGGGAAAAAAAATCTCGAAGCTTGGAGAAAATTAAGAGGCAGAGGTAGATTGTGTAGATTCCTTTACTCTTAATCACTGCTGTTTTGTTGGAAGGACATGAGCCCTAAGCTGGTAGACAGCACGGGCAGAGGCTTTAGGAATCAGGACTGATTTATAGGTGTTTAGATGAATCAGCTGTGCAGGTCTGGAGAAAACTGGGTTGAAGAGTCCAAGCAGGCACATAGCTTGAAGGAGGATGAGTACATTTTGTGTACTTGAGTGCTGGAGTCGTGGGACTGAGAGAAGGTCCTCCAAGCTTATGTTGCTGTGTTTGAAACAGGTCCTAGACCAGAAGGAGCACAGGTTGGATGGCCGAGTCATTGACCCTAAGAAAGCTATGGCTATGAAGAAGGACCCTGTGAAGAAAATCTTTGTAGGGGGTCTGAATCCTGAAGCTACAGAGGAAAAAATCAGGGAATACTTTGGCGAGTTTGGAAAGGTGAGTCTCTAGAGGAGGAGTAGCTTGCTACCTGTCCTGAGGCACTTGTTTTCCTGGCTCAGGTAGCCTGACCACTTAATTTCTTTGTAGACTGTTTTGTGCGTAGGGGAGGTTTGGACTTAAAACTTTGTCTTTAACAGATTGAGGCTGTTGAACTCCCAATGGATCCTAAGTTGAACAAAAGAAGAGGTTTTGTTTTTATCACTTTCAAAGAGGAAGACCCTGTGAAAAAGGTTCTGGAGAAAAAGTTCCATACTATCAGTGGAAGCAAGGTAAGGTGTCCCAGACTTGCTGCTGGAGAGCCGGCCTTTGCAGGTATGGGTCAAGGGCTTGCTGGATTAGCCATACCATATCTCTTCTGTGTCTGCTTCCCTGGTTGGGGCAGGACAAAGAGTTGACAGAGTGGTTGGAGCATGGTCAGTAGCTTTAAGTGAGGGGAGTGAGTCCAGGATGTTGAAGTTTCAGAAGATTGTAGATCGTAGAGTTTGCACAGTTCATCTCCTCCTGGTGTTTTTCCTATTCCAGAGTTTTCTCCCTCTTTTCTCTGTCTGTCCCTTTGGCCAGTCTGCCCCAGGCAGAACTGCGGTCCTGGCCAACTTAAATCCATGGCTAATTGTTTTTTTTCCCTCACGTTATGTTGTGTGCGCCTACATAGCTTGGCAGTTAGGAGCGTGAAGGTGTGGCAGGCAGGGTGTGATAGATTGCACCTTAGCTGTAGTGGCAGATGAGGATATATAAGGATAGGATGATAGGTAGGATGGTGTTCAACAGCCTCAGTCTGTGAAACACAAAGTTTAAGTCTAGACCTCCCCTATCCAGAAAACAAAGAAAATCTGGATTAATCTTTTAAAGATAAGCCTGCTGCTGGGTTTGGGAATAAGTGTATGGAATTGGCTGTATATTCCATATTTTGTATAGGATGGAAAAAGTCACATGGGGGGAGCAGGCTTGTAAATGGAGTCCAGTGTGTATCAGGACCCGTCCCCAAGTTGTGGGCAGACAATCACCCTGGCCCTTCCCTGAGCCTCAGGTTTGTCTGTATGGTGGAGGTCACAATCTCAGTAGAATATTTGAGTGGGATGAGTATCTTCTGTAAAAGAGAAAAAAAGAGTAAGCTTTTAGGTACCCAAGACACTTTATCTGGGAAGTCTTCTGACCCTCTTGCCCTGTTCCTTGCCACTGGGATTTCTGTCTCCCAGGCTTTGACTTCCTGTCCTCTTGGCTTTTAGTGTGAAATCAAGGTGGCTCAGCCCAAAGAGGTGTATCAGCAGCAGCAGTATGGCTCTGGGGGCCGTGGGAACCGAAACAGAGGGAACCGAGGCAGTGGCGGAGGTAAGTGGGATGTGGATGAAGACAGGTCCTGCGTGCTGCCTCTGGCAGGGTGGGCAGGCAGCGTGTGAAGTGGGAACAGTTTTTGGGTGGGGACTATGTGCTTGTGCTGTTGTGGCTCCTTGGAATGAAGAGCTTAGTTCTTTTCACTCCTGTGGCTTGGGGCCCCAGGGCAGAGGGAGCATCTGCATTGCACTGGCGTGAAGGTGGGGGGGGGCATGGTGGGTTGTGCTTGGCTCTGTGGCTGTCCTCTGAGTCTTGGTACATCCGTGGGCAGAAAGGTAGAGCTGTGCCAGGCGCTTACCTCCTTCCATCCCAGGCCCCTCTGACTCCAAAGCCTGAACTGCATCTTTTTCAAGGCCAAGCTGCCAGGAAGGGTGGGGTGATTGAGTAAGCCACCTGTACTCCAAGTAAAGCTAGCACTCTGGCCTCCAGATTGGGTCTCAGGTAGGTAAAGGGCTGGGCCCAGGGCCCTCCCTCTACATCAGAACAGTAGCCCCTTGGCTTGTGCCTGAGTTGCCATAGTAACCTCGCCACCCAAAGGGCAGGATTTCCTCCATCCTAGCTCCTGCGTGTGCTAAATGGTCCATGGGCCCCTGTGCCCTGCTCCCCCCACAGGTCAGAGTCAGAGTTGGAATCAGGGCTACGGCAACTACTGGAACCAGGGCTACGGCTACCAGCAAGGCTACGCTGGTAGCTACGGGCCCAGCTATGGCGGCTACGACTACTCGCCCTATGGCTATTACGGCTACGGCCCCGGCTACGACTACAGTAAGTAGGAGAGGGATGCCCCCGTTAACCATCCCCTAGGGGAGGCAGGTCAGACAGTGCAGGGGCCGCTGGCAGCAGGGGCTTTGGAATCAGACAGGCCTGGCTCAGTCAGGCACTGGAGTTCCTGGATGGAGCTCTAGCTCTGGGACCAGTGAGCCCTACTGTACAGGGTTTTTGAGGATCCTGTGAGGAAGCCTGTCAAGCACCTGGCACAGGGTAAATGCTCAGTAAGTAGTCGCTGCTACGTTGTTCTTATCCCTAGGTCAGGGTAGTACAAATTACGGGAAGAGCCAGCGACGTGGTGGCCATCAGAATAACTACAAGCCATACTGAGGCAACAGCAGGAGCGGCCAACTGACGCCCGCACACGCTTTGTTTGGATATGGAGTGAACACAATTATGTACCAAATTTAACTTGGCAAACTTTCTATGGCCTGTCCCATGTGCATCTTATTTAAAATTCCCCCCTTGGAAATCAACTCTCCTGTTTACTATTTCCAGAGCTCTAGTTGTTTTAGGCAGCGTGTGATGTCTCAGGCCAGAGCGGCATTAGGGGCTTTTATTACCAGGTTACCCAGAACCAGATTGGAGGGTCTGCTTCCTTTGGCTGCCTTGCAGCCTGGACCTGCGGACCCTGGTTGTAAAGAGTAAACTGCATTTTAGGAAACCAGTGTCACCTTTTAATTTTATATTATTTGTGTCATACATTTCCTGTAATGGAAGTGTTAATTTTACTGTACTTTTTGGTACCTTTTGGGAATCTAATGTATTGTAAGGTATTTTACACGTGTCCTGATTTTGCCACGACCTGGATATTGAAGCTATCCAAGCTTTTGAAATAAAATTTAAAAACCCTTACTAAGCCTGGGTGAGTGTGGGAAATGCTGTTGCAGACACTATGGGACAAGACACTCAGAGCTGGCCCAACAGTTGTTCCGGATCTGGTGGCACCTGATAGGCATACGTATTCTACACCTTTACTACACCAGCAACTAAAGTGTTGAAGGTGAGTGGATAGCTTTTTCTTTGTGCCAGCACTGTCTGAGCTTCTTTGCGCTAGGCTAGTGCTCTATCTACCGCAGCGCCACGTGTGGTTTTCTTGTGGTTACTAGGTCAGCTTTGAGATGCTAGGATCACAGGCATGAGCCGCTGGTGCCCAGTAAGTAGCTGCAGATGGTGAGAAGCCATAGGAGCAAGGGTGCTCACCTGGAGAACGAGCTGGCTTAGGGCGAAGCCTCAGCGTCTCACAGCTTCTCACTTTCTCTTCCATATCTGAAAGACAAGACCCTGGGTCACCTTTTTTAGCCTTCACTGTCCTGGCTAGAACGGCAGTTTGCACTTTGGGACCCTATAAAAACCCCAAGGTCCTATGGCAGGTCAGCCTTCACTGTCCCAGGCAAATATGACCAAACCCCGGGGCTTTGGTTACCAATGAGGCAGCCTGGAGACGAGGAGTGCTGCTTGCTCTGCTTCCACCATGAGGGACTTTGCTCGTTACCAGCGCAGTCCATAGCTATGTCTAGTTAGGTAGAAACCAGGGGCTGTCCTTCCCAGATATTAGCAATGCGGGGAGCAGCTCAGTATCTGAGGGTGTTTGGAACACCCGAGCTTCCACTTTTCTTCTAGGGAACCTTGTCTCCCAAAGACCAGGTTAGCTTTGGTCTTGAATTTTTCTACTATCCAGGACACCCTGGCTCCTCTGGATCAATGCTGGGGATGCAGCTTTCTGGCCCCAGGTTGGGTTCTAGATGATATGTACATAGCCATTCAGGCTCCAAGCTCACTTGTCAGAATGGCATCCATCTTTGTCACCACTTGAAGTGCGTTGTCCAGACTAAAGCACATGGGGGGCTTAAACTTTAGGACATTCCTCCCGGGACCGTCAGTGCTCAGCAAGATGTAGTTCTCCTTCAGTCTGTAAGGACAGAGTACCACGATCAGCCTGGGAGTGGTCAGTGCCTGGGATCTAGCTTTGTACCACCTGACCATTCAGGATCCCAGAGTTCTCTGGGAGAAGGTGCTGTGGGCTGACAGGGCTATCACACCACTGAAGATGAGGAAGGCTTGGGCATTAGTACAAGACCACGCATGCATGCTTACGATTTTAGCAGGACATCGGTTTTTCTGTGTGTAAGTCTGAGGGCAGGGAGCAAAGAATAGAGCCTTCATCTTGTGGCCACTGTCCCAAGTGTGCCTCCGGGAGAGCCACGTTTCCAACTTTCTGTCTATGAAACTACACTAGGGCTGCACCTGAGAGCTGGACTGTTGGGGGTTCTCAGCAGAGGGAGTTGCCCTGGGTTAGGGTTGCCACTCACTGGGCACACACACACACACACATCAGCTGCCTCAACCTCAGGCCCAAGGTGCCAGAGGCATGCTGCTCTACTCACTGCCCCAGGCTGGGAACCCAGAGTGCTTTAAGACAATACCTGGATACCAGGTATTCAGCCTCTTCAGTTGCTGGTGCTCTTGTGGCTTCATCTCTGACCAGATCTACACCCACGAAGAGCCCAGTGCCCCTGGAGGAGAGAGGACATCTCAGGCCAATGATGGAGGGACTGCAACCCTTGTTCTCTTTCACCAAGGCCCCCCTCCCCCCCCCACTGGAAACCACCTTGGCTTCTGCTCCCTGAAAGTGGGGTGAAATCAGTTCCTAAGGGGTCCCCAGGTGTGGGTACAGGATAGGGGCTGGTGGTCAGCTGGCTAAGGTTGAGTCACAACCGACTACTATGTGTAAGCTGCCAGTCTTGGACTTGAACTTGGGGCCTGAGCACTGTCCCTGGATTTTTTCTATCAAGGCCAACAGCTCCACTTCCAGCTTTTTTGGTAGTTAGAAGAGTCTCATGGACTTCGCTGTGTGGGCTGGGTTCAAACTGAACATATCTCTTGTCTCTTGAGTAGCAAGGATCACAGGACTGAGCCAGCAGAGCCTCTCAGTTCCTCTTATCTAAAGAGTGGACAGTGAGGTGGAGGGCTGGCTAGCAAGCCTGACAGTTGAAACCTCAGTAAAACAGAAAAGCAGTGGGTCCTGGCAGGTATCGGTTAGCTGCTGCCCCCAGAGCCTTACCTAATGTCCCCGATGATGGGATGCTTGGCTTTTTGCTGCCTGAGGAGCTCCATCAGGAAGCTGCCTACGTGGGAGGCATGAGCCTGGAGCTGCTGCTGCTCCACAACATCGAGGACTGCCAGGCCCACGGCGCAAGATACAGGGCTGCCACCAAACTGAGCCAGGAAATAAGGCGTGTCAGATGTTCAGCACACTGGGTCACCACACAAGGGCTGCAACAGGCACACAAATGTCCCCGAGTCTCACGAGACCATCCATCCTCCCAGGCCCTATGTGACTACCCAGGGGTACAGCAGGGAAGTTGAAGACTAGAGAAGAGGTGGTGTCTGAACACAAGACAGGTCCCCTCACTTCCAACAAAAGGCCCACACCACCAGAGCTCACCCCAGAGAAATCACTGGTGGTAGTACAAATCAGCTGTTGGGTAAACTCAGGGAAGATAAAAGGATACAAACCACAAGCTATGTGCCTGGGTGCCACAACTGGCCTGTCAACATGGTGTTTCTAAAAGTTGGTAAGTGATATTGCCCCAACCCTGTATTTCTGACATCTGGCTACACTCAGCATGGGTGGCTCCTCTCTCTGAGTTATCTGGAGTACTTTGTTTTACAGATCAGAGGGTCAGTAACAAGATAGGAATTTTTTCTTCAAACTGCATTAAAAAAACGGTGGCTCATACCTGTAATCCTAGCTACTCAGGAGGCTGAGATCTGAGGATCATGGTTCAAAACCAGCCTGGGCAGGAAAGGCTATGAGACTCCTCTCCAATAAACCACCAGAAAACCAGAGGTGGCGCTATGGCTCAAGTGGTAGAGAGCTAGCCTTTAGCTGAAGAGCTGAGGGACAGCGCCCAGGCCCAGAGTTCAGGCAAAAACAAAACAACACAAAACCAAACAGGCACAAAATTTAAAGTTTAGCCAGAGGTGGCACTGTGGCTCAAGTGGTAAGAGTGCAAGCCTTGTGCACAGAGGCTCAGGGACAGCCCAGACCCCAAGTTCAAGCCCCAGGACCAGCAAAAAATAAAATATGAAGTTTACTGTTATGGCAAATGTACAGATCTGCACAACTTCCTCCACAGTGAGCTTCCAGATATTTTCACCCTCACTGGCCCCAGGTAGCCGCCTGCTTGCTTTTTCACTGCAGCTTTGCCTTTCCTATAGAGGCCATAGAAATCCAACTGTAGAATAGGTGCCCTTTTGTAAAAACCCATCTGCAACAGGTTAGAGAAATTTATCCATACTGTAAACTCAGTTTGTCCGCTGTTGTACAATATTCCATTGTGAACATTCATCCTTTGTTTATTCATCTGTTAATGGACCCTTGAGTTTGTTCTTTTGGTTGCTGTGAATAAACCTATGAATATATACAGCCATTTGTAAACCCTATATTCTCATATCCTCAGGTAAAGTACCTTAGAAACAGGTAGAACTATTGGGTTATGTGATACATGTTTGACTTCGTAGACACACTGTTCTAAAGTGGTGATTGTGTTATATTCCCATATTCCCACTAGCATTTGACATTCTAGCTGCTCTACATCCACATTTGCTACTGTCCATCTTCGCACAGGTCCCCAATTCTATTTCACATTTGAGCCCTGCCTCCCCCAGTACTGGGGATTGAACTTAGCCTCCCACTCACACAAGCATTGAGTCACATTTCTAGCCCTGTCCTTGAAATTTTCAGTCCGCCTCATTCTTCCAAGAAGCTGAGAGTACAGTACAGGTGTGAACCACCACATCCAGCAATCTAAGTACAGGTTAAGTAACACTATGTCTCCCCCACCCTCACCGTCACCCCAGAGGACCACAGAAGCAGATGAACTCTGAGGTTTAACATACAGTGGTGACTGGCTAGAGGTGGGTAGCAGCCCAGTGGTGTTAGGGTAAGTTACAACAGAACAATTTTGCCTTTGTGATCCAGCCCTACACTCTTAAGCACCTAGAGTCCTGATCCTCGTGACCTTAGCTCATTTCTTGGTTCAGTGGGATCTGTCCAGCATAGACAGTGACCCATATATATGCTCAAGGGCAAGGCACTTGAAGCACAGCATTTAATAAGGAGAAGGCGGGCTGGGAAGGTAGCTCAGTGGAAGAGTGCTTGCCTCGCATGCATGAGATTCTGGGTTTGATTCCTCAGGACCACATAAACAGAAAAGGCCAGAAGTGGCACTGTGGCTCAAGTGTTAAAGCTAGTCCAGGCCCAACGACCGGGGTGAGGGAGGGGGGATCTGGGGGTGAGGGAAAGAAGATAGGTAGCTGGCTTTATTGGGAGCTGAAAGGTAGCAGTCCCACAGGCGGCCATATTGGTGATATAAGCCAGAAACACAGAAAGCTAGTTGAAACAGATGGGAAAATACAGAATAGACGCACCTGAGTAACAGAGCAGGGCAGAAAACTCCCAGGCAAAGGTAAACAATATAAAATGTGCAATAAAAACAGATATATGAGCCGGGCGCTGGTGGCTCGTGCCTGTAATCCTAGCTACTCAGGAGGCTGAGATCTGAGGATCATGGTTCAAAGCCAGCCTGGGCAGGTAAGTCTGTGAAACTTCTCTCCAATAAACCACCAGAAAACTGGAAGTGGTGCTGTAGCTCAAGTGGTAGAGCGCTGGCCTTGAGCTGAAGAGCTGAGGGACAGCGCTCAGGCCCAGAGTTCAAACCCCACGACTGACCCCAAAATAAAAACAGTTGGAAGACTGCTCTGGAAGACAGAGCAGTTGAAAATAGTTGAAGGCACAATGGCAACAGATCTGTTGGCATTAAAAATCATAAAAGCCAGACGTCTTTGCCTCATGCCTGTAATCCTAGCTACTCAGGAGGCTGAGATCTGAGGATCCTGGTTCAAAAGCCAGCCCAGGCAAGAAAGTCCATGAAATTCTTATCTCCGATTAACCCTGAAAACTGGAAGGGGCGCTGTGGCTCAAGTGGCAGAGTGTTAGCCTTGAGCTGAAAAGCTGAGGGACAGCGCCCAGGCCGAGTTCAAGCCTCATGACCAACCCACCAAATTTTTTTTCATAAAAAATGATAATACTGGCAAAAGTCATCATAACCGTTTTCAGACTCAGGCAGCGAGACCAAGGCTGGCAGCAGACTCAAATGCCTGCCAAACTCACACCTAGGACCCGGGTCGCCATTTCACCTGCTGTGTGTGCTCTCTGGGTCTGCCTAGTATTTATGGCAGGCATTTGGTTAGCACTGAAGTTACTTGCAGAAGTGGTGAATGGATAAACAGGGTGAGGAACAAGGCATCTTCCAGGAGCTCTGTTCTGTTCCTAACCTATAGGGCCACTCATAGGTGTGGAAGCTCACTGTGCCATTGCTTGTGAACGAAGAGGAGATGCCTGACAAGCCCTTTGCTCTTGCCAGTGGCTGCCTTGACAAGCATAGGCTGAGGTGGGATCAGAAACGGCCAGGATGTGACTGGTTGTAGGTCTTTTGGTGAGTCATCGGGGCTGAACTGGGCCTGGGTGCTGTCCTTCAGCTCTTCAGCTCAAGGATAGTGCCCTACCACTTGAGCCACAGCACCACTTCCGGCTTTTTTTTTTTTTTTTTTTTGCCTATGTGGTGCTATGGAATTGAACCCAGGGCCTCATGCATGTGAGGCAAGCACTCTACCACTGAGCCACCTTCCCAGCCTTGGTTGTAGGTCTTTTAAGAGTTGTCACACTTGCTGGATAGCTGCTAACCTAAGCTGGCAGAGATTGGCCAGTGGTGAGAGCTGAGGGCTTTTCAGGTTCTCTCCACCAAGTGGAGGCTATTCTGGGCAGTCAGTTGGCTGCAACCTAGAAGAGAACCTTAACCAGAACCCAGCCATTTCTACTTGCAACCTCCAGAATTATGAGAAATAAACTGGAGTGTTTTTTGGGCTGCCTTGTATTTGGTTATTATAATGACCCAAACTAACACATAGATTGAAGCAGCAACCAAGTATCTTCCCACAAAACACAAGGCTCAGAGGGCTCTGCATTTGAGCTTCAGCCACAGATGGGCTGGGGTATGGCTGAAGAGACAGAATGCTTAGCTGGCAGGCATGAGGCCCTGACTTCAAATCTTAGTACCACCAAAAGAATAGATCATCTCAATTTTATATAAAAAGAAAGGTGGGAATATTTCCCAACTCCATTTATAAAGGCAGTAGGACCCAGATATCAAAACTCAAATTACACAGGTGGTGGTAGTAGCTCCTGTAATCCTAGTGACTCAGGAGGCTGAGATCTGAGGATTGAAATTTCAAGCCAGCCCAGGCAGAAGAGTCTGAGACTCTTACCTAGCAAAAATTAACTAGCTGGGACTGGAAAGGTGGCTCAGTGGTAGAGCGCTTGTCTTGCATGCATGAGGCTCTGGGTTCGATTCCTCAGCACCACATAAGCAAAAAGAAAAAAGCCGGAAGTAGCGCTGTGGCTCAAGTGGTAGAGTGCCAAACCTTGAATAAAAAAACTAAGGAGCAGTGGCCAGGCCCTGATTCAAGCCCAAGTCTTGGTGCACACACAAATTATATATAACAAAAACACCCTTAAGTTACAAGAAAAATTCTAGCTACATTTTCCTTCAGAAAACAGGTGCCAAGTACACAAGTAAAATATAAGCAGAGTACTGTGTAAAATGACAATAACTCACTCAGATTTGTCCTGGGTATGCAAAGACTGGTTTGATCCACAGCACTGTGGAAGAGGGTGGGCAAGAATCCCATAAACTCCTTGTTAACAGATTAGAAGAGCAAAAATTCAATACATAAAAAGAATGAAGAAAAAGCCGGAAGTGGCGCTGTGGCTCAAGTGGTAGAGCGCTAGCCTTGAGCTGAAGAGCTGAGGGACAGCGCCCAGGCCCAGAGTTCAGGCCCCCACGACCGGACTCCCCCCCCCCCCCAAAAAAAGAGTGAATACTGAATTTCTTTTTATAGTTAAAATTATTTAATAGCAGGAAATTCATAGAGATCTAGAAGATCTCAGTTTGAACCCAGACAAGGCAGAAAAGGCTGTTAAGACTTCATCTCAAAAATAACCAGCAAGGCCAGGTGCTGGGGGGCTCATGCCTAGAATTTCTAGCTATAACTCAGGAGACTGAGCTCTGAGGATCCCAGTTCACAATCAGCTCAGGCAGGAAAGTCCATGAGACTCATCTCCAATTCACCACCAAAAAACAAGAAGTGGAGCTATATGGCATAAGTCGTGAGTGAAAAAGTTCAGTGCCCAGGCCCTGAGTTCAAGCCCTAGTACTGGCATCAAAAATAAATACCACAAAATAGCAAAAAGCCAAGCTGGAGGCTTAACAAGGAAGCCAAGCAAGTGCAAGGTCTTGAGGTCAGACCTCAGTACTGGAAATGATAGTCAATAGAATGTTTATTTTCTGGCGGTAGGTCGAACACAGAACTTTGTGCATACCAAGCACATGCTCTGCCACTGAACTATACCCCCAGCCACAAACGTTGCACTAACTGGACAAACAAATAAGCCCAGTGTTCTACTTGTGTTCAGCTACTATAGGAAGTCTCTCACCCAGTGTAAGGAGACAGCTACTACTATTTGGAGGTAAGATTTTTACCTAATCTGACTGTGGTGGTTTTAAACCTGCAATCTCAGCACTTGGAGGATCACAAGTTAGAGGCCAGCTTGGGCTAGATAGTGAGACCTCATATCAAAAGCACCAGAACAGGGGCTGGGAAGGTGGCTCAATGGTAGAGTGCTTGCCTTGCAAGCACGTGGCCCTGGGTTCGATTCCTTAGCACCACATAAGCAGAAAAAAGCCAGAAGTGGCACTGGGGCTCAAGTGGTAGAGCGCTAGCCTTGAGCTGAACAGCTGAGGGACAGTGCTCAGGCCCAGAGTTCAGGCCCCACAACTTGGAGAATGGGGTGGGGGCAGGGAAGAAACATCTTAAATTGAGGCTACATACCCACCATGTATCCTAGCAATTCCCTAAGGGTCAGTTCCTAACCTTTTTTACTCTGAAGAAAAACCTTGCATGTACAGATCAGACTCAGAAAAACTTGTCAGCAGCAAATCAGAAAAACACTGAACCACTTCAAGGCATTCAACAGAAATGGAGTCACTGGTACCCTAACCCCAGTGCACACTGTGAGGTAGTCAAACCTCTCTGTGGATGATCCTCCCCCACAAAATCTCCAGAGTACATATAGAACAATGGGGAGGGAACTGATTGGAGTACATTACTTATGTGCGTGGAACTGGGGCAATGAAACCCTGTACCTGCCATTGGGCCTGGCACATCATAGTTTCTTGCTGGAGGGAGAGGGGCTCTGCATTCTCTAAGTATTTTATGAGACACAATCTCTTAGCGGCAGCTTTTGGCTGACCATCGTTTTTAAGAATGTTTTGTAACAGTAAAAGAGAAACTGACCTGGTTGTGGCTTTCCTTTGCTGGGCACCGAGCTGGCCCATGGCCTTCATTGACTTAGGAGCAGCTGATCACAGGCACCTAAGCAGAGCCACAGCCCTCTCTTGCCCTGGAGCCACTACTTACCGTGTTGAAGTATTCCACGCCGGTGGCTTCAAATGCCCTCGCCACAGCTTGGGTGGTGGCCACACATGCAAGTGGGTGGCCATTGCCAATGGACTTGCCCATGGTGACAATGTCAGGGACAAAGTCTTCCCCCTGCAGCTGGAAGGCCCAGAAGTGCTTGCCCACTCGGCCAAAGCCAACCTGGATCTCGTCTGCCACGAAGACCCCTCCGGCTCTGCGGACGTGCCTGTGGTGGAGGTCAGGGAACTGTGGCTAGAGGGGTTATACCAGGAGACGGGAGATTCTGGGGCTCTGAATCTTTGCCCTGCCAGCTGTTATACCGGGGGTGGGAGTAGGGTGGAGGAGGAAAGACAAATGGGTGATCTTTTTGGAGACATTATTTTAAAGGCTTTGTTTCAAAGAGTCCTGGCAAGCAGACCAGACTGTGGTTGGAATTTGGAACAGAGTTTGGGAAGCCCAATTACAGCCTGTCCTCCCTGGGGCAGACCCAGGCCACCAACTCACTCTGCCACTCGGGGGAAGTAGCCAGCAGGAGGGATGATCTGCCCACCAACACTGGGCAGAGACTCAGCGAAGAAGGCTGCAATCTGGGGACAAACCAGAGTCAGGAGTGCCACCAGGAGCTCATGGGTTCTGCCTGTGCCCACGGCTACCTAAGCAGAGGCCCCTCCTTTGGGCCCCCCATCAGGCCTGACGGATTGTGACCCTTATCTTCTGGTCACCCACATCCCTTTGAACTTGGCACGCCCCTCCCCTCCAGGCCTGTTCCTTTCCCCAACTCTCCTTGGTGACACGTCTGTCACCCCTCTTGCCAGGGACAGAAACATCCAGATCCTCAACCTATCCCATCCCTCATCTGCTCAGCCAAGCACACAGCCTGGCTCCCATCGGTGACATCTCTCAACCCATAGCTGCTTCTCCACCTGGCTGCAGACCTGCCTGTCTCTGCTGTGGCCTTCAGCAGATGCCATTCAATCCCACACCGCTGTCCCTCTCTTAACCTCATCCTCAAGTCTCTGGCCCTCTTGCTGTGTGGAGCAGTGATTGCCTGGCTGTGTTCTGCCCTGAATCTGCTCCTGAGCCTATGTCGGGGCCATGGGATAGGCTGGGGGGTTGGGGAAATGTTGCCCTGCCTCGGTCCGGCAGGGCGCCATTCTTCACTGGTCCCACAGATGTGGCTAGTGAGCATCTGAACCTACAGGCCAGGCTTCCCTGGTTTGGTTCTTCTAACCTGGCCTGCCAGCCTCCCGTGCCTTTCTTTGACATATCTGGCCTGCCACTCCTGTAGCAAGGTCTCCAGAGAGCACCCACCCTACGTACAACAGCCCCCTCTACTGTCAGGGTGGTGGGCACTGCTCTCCTCTGCCTGTCCATAGTCCACCTTAGCCAGGCAGCACACTGATCTCTGCATTCCTGCTCTTGGGCTGCCTCATTCACCCCTGTCCTGCACACCGCTTGGAGGGCCAGGTCTGCTTGCACTCCCACCCCCAGCCCCTGCATTCAGGTCTTACCTGCTTCCTGAGCTGCTCAGCCTGGCCCTGCACTCAGTCTGCCCTGCTCAGGCGGTCCATCCTCCCCTGGGCCCACCCTGCCTACACTAACTCCACTCACTACTGGGGTCAGCTGGTCACCTCCTCCAAGGTCCCTGCCTCACCAAGCCTGGTGCTATTTGGAGCCCTTAACAGCTGATATCTAGCTGCACCTCCATCCATGCTCTCCCCAGTGTACTCAAAACTGCTGGGCACCTAAGCAACCTCCCTTCCCCACTAGATGCCCAAAGAACAAGGCCTCATCCTGTGGTCTTCCTCTGGGTTCCCAGCATCTGTCACCGTACAGTGCCATTCACTGTGGCCAGATATGGGTGTGGTTACCTCCCGACCCTTCTCCTGAGCACGGGTGATCACACGCTTCACCTCGGTGGCATAGGCCTCTGCTGGGTTGGGGTGGTCCTCTCGGTAGGGGCCTCGGTAGGTGTCTGGGAGAGGTGCCTAAGAGAATGACACCACCATGTCATCCCTGCATGGGAGCCGGCACCAACCTGTTGCTTCTGTGGGCAGTACGTACCACATGGACCCACTCCTTCTGGCCGTCCAGGTCTCGGAACTTGTAGGGACTGATGTCAATCAGGGAGCTCAAGTGACCATGATAAGCACTGTGGAGAAGAAGGCAAGGCTCAGGGCCACCGGGCATGTACTCCTGGTCATGGTCCTGAGCACTGTCTACCCACCTCTGAAGACAACACAGGCCCTGAGTCAGCCATTGGGCTATGTGAGGCTTTGGGCCTGGAGTATTAGAAGATTTCCTGCAAGATGGCCCACTGACGGGGCTGGGATGTTGGCTCAGTAGTAGAGCGCTTGCCTTGCATGCATGAGGCCCTAGGTTCGATTCCTCAGCACCATATAAGCAAAAAGAAAAAAAGCCGGAAGTGGCGCTGTGGCCCAAGTGGTAGAGCGCTAGCCTTGAGCTGAAGAGCTGAGGGACAGCGCCCAGACCCACACTGACCAAAAAAAAAAAATGATGGCCCACTGAACTGGGTGCTGATGGCTCATGCCTGACCCTAGCTACTCAGGAGGCTGAGATCTGAGGGTCATGGTTCAAAGCCAGCCTGGGCAGGAAAGTATGAGATTTTTATCTCCAATTAACAACCAGAAAAAGTGAAAGTGGTGCTGTGGTTCAAAGCGGTAGAGCACTAGCCTTTAGCGAAAAAGCTCAGGGACAGCACCCAGGTCCTGAGTTCAATCCCCACAACTGGGGATGGGGGGAGGAGGGATGAAGATGGCCCATTGGCCTCATCTAATCATCCTGCTGAGTTGACTGCCTCAGAAGGCAGTAGGCCTCCTTCGGGGGTATAATGAATCTCCAAGGTACTAGTATGCTCTAAATCTGTCCCAGGGCCTTTGCAGGTAATATAGTTGACACCTGGGAGCAGCATCTGTCATTACACAGTGCTCCCTGCCCAGAACAGTGGCTGAAGATGGCCTCTGAGATGGTGTCTGGGGCCAGGTCACGTGTGTCATGCTGCTCCCAATGGCTCATGGTGCTCCTCTTCCTGGCCTAAGGCGCCTAAGGCACCTAAGGCCAGAGCCTCTGGGATTGCCAGCAAGTCTGCATTGCCTGGAGCGTGGGCCCGCAGAGCCAGGAGCTGTACTTACTGGTCTAACACCACCACATCCTGGTGTCCTGTGTACTGGCGGGCCAGTCGCAAGGCCAGGTCATTGGCTTCTGACCTACAACAGAAAAGGTGGTTAGGAAATGCCACCCAGGGGGCTTTGCCAGGCTTGAGGAGCCTCTGCACCAGCAAGAAGGGTCTCAGGATAGCCTCTGCTTGTTCATTGGGAAAACATCATATCCCACCCCAAACTTACACTCTATTGAGTCATGAAAGACCAAACAGTGTTTATCTTTCTATGTGACCAGGGGATTTGCACAAAAGCTGAGATGTGAACTCTGGGTCTGGGCTCTGTCCCTCAGCTCTTCAGCTCAAGGCGAGCGCTCTGCCGCTTGAGCTACAGCGCCACTTCCGGTTTTCTGGTAGTTTATTGGAGACAAGAGTCTCACGGTCTTTCCTGCCAGGGCTGGCTTTGAACCATGATCCTCAGATCTCAGCCTCCTGAGTAGCTAGTATTATAGGTGTGAGCCACCGGCACCCAGCTGAGATTTTTTTTTTAAAAGGCAAGTTCTCACTATGTAGTAGAGATGGCCCTCAACTTGAATTTCTTCCAGTCTCAGCAGAATTATGTATAGACATGCCAAGCTGGAGCTGTTTGTCACATGTCAAATGGGCATTCAGGACCTAGAGTCTTGAGGACCTAGGCCCATGATAAAAATTATCCAGAAGCTGGGCGCTGGTGGTTCACGCCTGCAATCCTAGCTACTCAGGAGGCTGAGATCTGAGGATCATGGTTCAAAGACCGTGAGACTCTTGTCTCCAATAAACCACCAGAAAACCGGAAGTGGCGCTCTAGCTCAAGAGGTAGAGCGCTCGCCTTGAGCTGAAGAGCTGAGGGACAGCGCCCAAGCCCAGAGTTCAAGCCCCACGACCGCCAAAAAAATAAAATAATCTAGTTTCCAGTACATAGATGATAATTCCAAGGCAATGGGTACGCTCCCAAAGGGAAAGGCTTAGAGAAAAATGGCCTAGCACCAGCCCAACAGACAGAAGAGTGGCTAGAGCTTGAAGTGAGAGCAGGTATCCTGGAAGCAAAGCATACCACAGAGAATGGCAGGCCTGCCACACGTGCTGACAGGTGAAGGAGCAATAGGGCCACTGGATTTGGCCACCTTTATATAAAGCCACCAGTGGCAGGATGCCAGTGGCTCAGGTCTATAATTCTAGCTCCTCTGGAAGCTGAGATCTGGAGGATAACAGTTTGAAGATAGCCCAGGCAGAAAAGTCTGATAGATTTCATCTCTGGGAGTCACCAGACAGAACAGCGGGTGCACAGGCTTAGTGCTACAAAGCCAGGCTAGAGTCATGGCTCAAGCAGTTGAGTGCCAGCCATGCAAGCAAGCCAGGTGAACTCAAGGACCCCAAGTTCAAACCCCAGTACAGGGGAGAGGGGTGTTAGTGGGGAGGGAAGTCACTGGAATCACAGATCAAGCCTGTGGAGAGAGCAATAGGAATGACCCTATCTCCTCTGTTGGGGAAGCACTCCACAGCACAGCCTTCTGCTCTTCCCAGGAGCTTCCAGTTCAGGCACCATATCTCTTAGCCAGCACCTTTCCAAGAACTGATGCTTCCTTAACAGTAAAAGATAGCATTCAAGGAACTGCTAGATGCATTAGATAATGGCATGGTTGACCAGGATCCTTAGCATAATTCACATGCCACTACCTACCATTTCCTGGAATGTTTGATAAAGCTGTCTGGGTCCCTCTCCAGTGTCAGCTCACATTCTTTCCTCCTCTGGCTCCTCCAATGTGCAGAAACACCTTGCCTTTGTAGCACTGTGCCTGGCACAGGCTTCTGTGTGATGGCCAATGCTGAGCAGAACTCCTCCAATGGAGCAGAAGCGCCCTTCTTTCCCCTACTACTTTCTTCCTAGTAACTAAGCCTCGGTTCCACATCCTCCTTTCCATCTCCCAGGACAGATCAGGTCCTTTGCTGCTTCAGGCCTCTTTATATCCCATAATCTTCTCCAGAAAATTACCACTCTTGGTAATGTTATACTTCTTTGTGGAATCACTTGATGTTTCAACCTGAGAGTAGTAACTTCAGGCTGTATCCAGAAGGCAGAATTAAAGGAATACATCACCTCATGAAACCTCTACAATGATCCTGCAAGAGAGGCAATGGTGGTGGTTTTTTTTTTTTTTTTTTGTGGGTGGGGTCAGTTGTGGGGCTTGAACTCTGGGCCTGGGCACTGTCCTTCAGCTCTTCAGCTCAAGGCTAGCGCTCTACCATGGTAAGCCACAGCACCACTTCCAATTTTCTGGTGGTTAATTGGAGATAAGAGTCTCACGTACTTTCTTGCCCAGGCTGGCTTTGAATCATGATCTTCATGTCTCAGCCTCCTGAGTAGCTAGGATTATAGGCGTGAGCCTCCAGCACCCGGCTGGCGATGGTGTTCTTCGCTAACAGAAGGAAACTAGATTTGACTGAAAAAGCATCAGCATATGCAGCATATATGCAAGCCTCTGCCCCAAGCCTGCGCTTGTTTGGTTTTCCTGTGCTGTGCCCATGTGGGTGACCTTCTTCTCCAGGCCCCACTCTCGTTAGGGGCTGGTAGCAGTCCACTTACCCAGAATTCAGGAAATAAAACACACAGAGCTTCTCCGGCAGCGTCTCCGACAGCCTCTGCGCAAAATCCACGATGTTGTCATGCAGGAAGCGGCTGTTGGTGTTGAGCACCTGGTTCTGGTCATGTGCGGCTTGAACCACAACAGGGTGGCAGTGCCCGACTGCAAAAGGGCCACATGGCCAACTCCACTTAGCCAGTCTCAGCAGGCCTCCCTCAGCCCCAACAGGCAAACCCCACTAGGGGAAGATGCAATTCAGAAGGGAAAGGTGGAAAGAGAAGAGTTGAAGACAGAGGGAGGGGAGAACAATGGTTCTAGAAAGAAAAGATCTAGAAAGTTCCTGAGATTCCAGAGGAACAAAAAGATTCTCTGGGCTTGAGGTAACCACCATTTTTTTTTTTTTTTGGTAGTTAATTGGAGATAAGACTTTCCTGCCTAGGCTGGCTTTGAACTACAATCCTCAGAATCTCAGACTCTTAGGTAGCTTGGATTATAGGTGTGAGAAACCAAGCCCTGGCTTTTATCCTTCACTTTAACTACTTCTCTGGCAGAAATCCTATCTAGAATAATCTAGGCCTTTAAGGAACCTTCTGGAGCACTTCTGCTTGACCAAGGCAGGGCTAGCGATAACCATCAGTGGGTTCGATTTCACCATTCAGTAGGGGTTGGAGGTAATCCTGATTATCAAGAAACCAAGGATAATGGTAACTGGCAATGTGTGTGGAGAACGCACCAAATGCCAGACACATTCAAACTGTTACACTAATTAACACATTTAATTCTTTGCACCTGAAGGTGAGCAGTTAGGCGCACCCTGTTTATGAGCAAATGAGCAAACAGGTGTAGAGAATTAAGTAGCTTGTTCCAGATCAGTCAGTGGTGGGCAGGGATGGGAAGCCAGGGAGGTTGACCCTGGAGCCTTGGCTTTTAACCTCCCCTTTAACCGCCTCCAATGTGCCCGCTAAATAGCATCTCCCTTTCAACTCTGGCAGTTGCAAAGGACTGAATTCTCATGTCAACTTCCTTCATCACTTGAAATAGTCAATAGAGCTGAAGGTCTGCCAGGGGCCAGGGCATGTTGGTGCTCCAGTGACCCCAAAGGAATGGGATCCACACATCTAGGTTTGCCTCTTGCCTGGTTTAGCACAGCTATGGCTTGGAGACTTCAGATTAGGCCTCTGCCCATGGATAACGGCTCTGTTCAACACCATACTTCTCTACCACCACCTTGGGGGCCAGATTGACAGATGAGGCCTCCTCTGTCTGAGGCATATCTGCCAGCCCGAGGAACGATACTGACCGTGAGCCACATTGTTGATGCAATCGATGTATTCTGCCCCTTGTTGGTCATACAAGTACTGTCCTTGGCCTCGGACGATCTTAACAGGATCCTCAGGGAAAAAGAGTCTGCAGGAAGAGCTGTGGAGACAAGCAAGGAGCTGTCAGCCATATGTGAAGCCTCTCTACTCCCCCCCACCCCCCCACTGCCCCCCAAGCGTGGCATCCACCCACCACTTCACTAGAAAGGACAAAAGTTTGAGGGTACCAGTCTCCCCACGCCACAGGAAAAGCCCTCAACAACGCTGGCCAGCAGCCCAGGGGCCCAGCCGTGGCCCACCGGCCCGCGGGGAAGCCAGCCCCAAGTTTCCCCGTCGCGGGGCCCAGGGCCCGGCTTACGTGCGGCCCTCCTCCGGGGCCTAGGACCCCCCCCCCCAGCCCCCCACTCCCTTCGTCTGAACTTTCCACCCTCCAGCCGGGCCCCGGTCAAGCAGAAGGGCCGCCACTGGGCGCGGTCGGCGGGGCAAAGGTCATTCCTTCAGAAAAAGGGGGTGCAGAGGCCGCGGAGGGGAGGGAGGGGGGGCCGCAGTCGGGATCGAGGGCCCCGGGCGCACCCGGCCTGGGCCCAGGCGGGACTGGGAAGTCTCGGGCTCCTCCGCGCGCGCGCGCGTGTGTTCGTGCGTGGCTGCGTGTGCGCGCGTGCACCTCCCGCGCCCCCACGCGCCACCCCCGCCGCGGTCCGTACCTGAGGAGCCGCCGTCGCAGTGACAGAGTATCGGTCTTGGCGCGCCGATCCGCGGCCATGGCGCCGCCCGGGCTGTCAGTCAGAGCCGAAGAAGATCCCAGACCCCGCCGCGCGCGCGCGCGCCTGGATCTTATCCCCGCCCACGCCCTGGCCGGCTCCGCCCATGCCACGCCTGGCCACGCCCACCCAGCGGCTTTGGCCACGCCCACCCCGCAGCGCTGACCACGCCCATCCCCGCAGCGTTGGCCACGCCCATCCCCGCGGCTTTGGCCACGCCCATCCCCGCGGCTTTGGCCCGCCCTGGAGATGCGCCTTAACCCTGGGGCCTGCATCCCTGGGCGGGTCCCCGCTCCTCTGGGGTTCTTCTGCCACTCGTGGGGTGTGGAGAGCGGGGTTGGAGCCCCACCCCTTACCGATCATCCCCTTGCCCTGGCCTCAGAAACATCTGGGGCCTCTTTCCTCCAATGTCTGCGGGTCTCTCTAATGGGGAGGGGTCTCCACCTCCCTCACCTGGGCCTAGAAGTTACCCAGAAGCTTGGCCTCCCAGCCTCCATTTCGTATCGGCCCCAGCTCTGCATCTTGATCACCTGCAGACACTTTACCAACCCCAAGCCTTTTCGCTGGAGCTGAGAGTTACAAGGACTGTTCTGGGCTGAGGTGGAACCTAGGGGAATGGTAAACACCTAGAGATAAGAGCCTAAATTGCCCCTCCAGGCAGGCAACAACAGCCCTGACTTTCTGGTCAGACTAGGCCTCACGGGGACATTTCTGAGATTAGGAGCAGCTGAACCACCCCTCTGACTGGGACATTTCTGAGATTAGGAGCAGCTGAACTACCCCTCTGACTCGGACTAATAGTTTCAGAGAAGTTCTTCCATTTTTGGTGGGCTGGTACTGGGGCTTGAGCTCAAGGTGTAGGTGCTGTCCCTGAAGTTTGTAGGTTCAAGGCTGGATCACTGCTCCATTTCCAGCAGGCTTTTGGCGGTTGATTGGAAGGAAGACTCACCTGGACTTATTCTTGAGTAGCTTCCTGAGTAGTGAAGAGTTATGTGAGCCATCATCAGTGCCCTGGCTTTCAGCAGTTATTAAAGAATATTTATTCTTGGGCTGGGAAGGTGGCTCAGTGATAGAGCGCTTGCCTTGCATGCATGAGGCCTTGGGTTCGATTCCTCAGCACCACACAAGAAAAAAGCTGGAAGTGTGCTCTGGCTCAAGTGGTAGAGCACTCGCCTTAGGTGAAGAGTTGAGGGACAGCGCTTAGGCCCAGAGTTCAGGCCCCATGACAGGACCCCTCCCCCCAAAAAAAGAATATTCTTTGTGTCTTACACTTTTTATTTTTTTTTATTGTGGTAAAATATGTTACAAAATTTACCATTTTAACATTTTTGAGGGTACAATTCTGTAGCGTTAAGTACATTCTCACATCACCATCATTCATCCAAAGGACTTCCACGTGGCTTCCCAAACCCAGGAAAGTGTTGTGTTTGGAACTGTCATGCCCAGTGGAACTTGAACTTGACTCTCATTACTAAATTAACCAAGAAAGGTTAATTGCTTGTGGCCTATACTCCTTTTCTGAGGGCCAACCCCCAGCTTCATGTATGCATGAGTGGGATTCCAGTCAGTGTTTTCAGTATATTGGCCCGTCCACCTTGGTGGTGAGACACAGACCACAGAGATGGCCTGGGTCAGCTCAGAGCACTCAAATATCACTTCCTGTTGAGGATAAGCAATGGGAAGGGTGTAGCCAGGCCCAGCTCTCATCTCCACCGCTCCTAGGATGTCCAGGATTAAGAGGAGATACAGATAGAAGTCAGACCAGGTAGGGTCACATCCTGGGTCCAGATTATCTATAGCTTCACCTTGTTGCTGCTCAGATAAAACCACCCCAAAACTCCTTTTGGTCTCTGGTCTCCGGCTAAGTAAACCTCTGTTATCTCATATCTGGCCTTCAAGGTGACATTAGTGGCCAAGAAGGCACAGAACGGGTGTAAATGGCTGAGTGAGACTTGAACCTGGGACCAGTGTTTCTTAGGCAATCTCAGTGTTATGATGCATCATTGCATTAACAGACAAAAGGTGCTTTTGCTTGGGTCCTTTGAATTAGAAGACTCAAACAAGCACCTTTGTGTAGAAGGCAAACTGCCCTCCAACAGGCAGTACCTTCTTATCTTAAAGAGTCCCCAAACTTAGAAAACCTCATTTCTGTTCGGTTCTACTAATAAAAAGTGTAACAATTTTCCCTGAACTCCTCCAAGGACAAAGACTGAGCTAATGACTTGGGGCTGTTTTAACTCTGCATACCTTTCTCCCCCCTGGTCCCCAAGCCTTCTTAACCTGAGAATAATATCTGTACCTCTGAAGACAGCTCAAGTGCTGTCTTCCCATGGCTGCCATGTAATAAATCTCCTTTTTCTGCCCTTCACCATGTTGCTTTATTTGGCACATGAGGGTGAATGGCTAGATCTAACTTGGGACTCCTGGACTCTGGGCCTTGAAATCTGGTTTCAACTGGACATCCTTGCATTTGAGATACGTGCTAGCCCCAACCCTGCTCCCTGAATGCCAGGAGTATTCCCCCAATCAAGTGACAAGCCAAAGCATGCTTGCCTATCTAGTGGTACTGTAGGGATGGGCAAGAAGCTTACCTGGGTAAGCTGGCTTTCATTAGTGGCTCTAATGGTTAGCTTAGCTGCCACGGACCACAGCAGGGTGGCATCTCTCTTCGGCAAGAGGTGGTTTGGACAGAGCTCCTCCTCTGGGGATGGAGGTCAGAGGCTCACCTGTGAGTCAGAGTGCCCTCCAGGCCCAGATTGAGAACCTTGAACAAATCACTCTTCCAAAGCCTCTCACCCCCACACTCAATTCATCAAGACTGCATGGCTGTAATTTTGAAGTTTGCAGGCCTGAGACCACAGGAGGGCAGCAGTGAGCCAAGAATGGCCACATCCTGTCACCAGGACACAGGAAAGGGACTTCTCTGGATGACTGAAGCCAGAAACATGTGGCTTCTATCTCCACGAAGCTCTCACTGCTTGCCACCCATTATCCTGGGGCCATTTAGCAGATGTCATGCCCTGCCAAATGCTTTTGAAAAGACAGCACATCCAAGAGCTTTGGCCCTGTCCTAGGCCTGCTCCTCTTCCCTGGCTGTGCATCCCTGGCCAGGTGAGTACCCTCTCTGAGCTTCAGTTTTCCCATATGTTAACTGGCCGTGGTGATGCTACATTGGCCCCATTCTTCACAGAGCTGGTGAGGGGACCAAAAAGTTCCTGGGTGGAGAATGAATTGTCAACTGAAGGCTACTGTGGACCTGGGATTGGGGTTTGAATGCTGGTCCTTTGCCATTGCTTGGCTTTTTTTTCTGTTCGTGGCGGGTTTCTACCACTTGAGCCGCACCTCTGCTTCTTCTTCTTCTTTTTTACTAGCTAATTGGAGAGAAGAGTCTTATGGACTTTTCTGTCTGGGTTGGCTCTGAATCATGGTTCTTTTTAGAACTCAGTCTCCTGAGTAGCTGGAATTATAGGCATGGACCACCCAGCTCACAGTCTGGGTTTTAAGCATTGTGTTCCATTTTGTGCAGGAGGGGCAGATGGCATCTTCTAAGATGGCCACTACAAGATCAGATCTACTATTCCACATTTTCTCCTTTAAATGGGATGTTGACACTCCTTACATTACCCCTTAGGCTGGGGTAGGCTTCTAACTCTGGCAGAACGTGGTATCATATGACTTTGGAGGTTTGGCTGTGAAAGGCGACATGGCGTTGACTTGCTCTACCTGGTTCATTCACATCGGAATCCGGCCACCGTGCTATGAGGAAGTGTGAGCTGCAGGAAGGCCACAGCAAGGCATCCTGGACACCTGGGCCCTCGCTGACAGCCACCATTAACCATCAGATGAGAGAGAGTTTGAGCAAGAATCACCCAATGGAGCCCACGAACCCCCAGAACTGAAAGAGAAACAGAAATGCGCAAGCTTTTACAGCCAGAAGCGTTAGGTGGTCTGAGATGCAGCGGTCACCCTGGAAAGTAGAGGAGAGGACTACCCAGGGACTCCCAGACAGGAAGTCACTGGCCTGAGAGCTCTGTTGGCATGTGGCAGGACCAGGTCTTGAACCTGTATCCTTCTATCCTATCTATCCCCATTGGTGTCTGTCCTGACCCCTCTACCCTGACATCCTGTGGTTTCTGGCATGGCCCTGCCCTACAAAGTCCCCCTACTTTCCTCTGTGCACCCCACAACAGCCAGGATGAAACTTTAGTCATGGGTGTCCAGGGTACTTCCAGGACAGGTCCGCCTGGACACATATTTGTGGTTTACTACACAGCCTACATAGAAAGCGGAGAGAAGGGGTTTGGACGGAGTTGGAAGCGGGGGACTGTGTGTCAGGGCACAGTGTGTGTGTGTGTGTGTGTGTGTGTGTGTGTGTGTGTGTGTGTCTGCAGCAGACCTCCTGCTTAGGCAGGGACCAGCCTGATCTGTACACTGCATCCAGGATCCCCTTTCGACCAGACTGATCACAGAGTTCTGGGCCAATGAGACCTCAAGCTCCAAACCACAGATATGTCTTCTTAGGGCAGGCCAGGTCCCTTCCTGTCCCTGCCCTGGATGAGGTGACAGAGACAGGAAGTGGCAGCCAGTGCAGTCTAGGACCGTCCACGTCCATGTTCAGGGATTGCTAGGTCCCCCGCAGTCATGGCCTTCATGGCCCTTTCTCAAGAGTACAGGACACAGGCCCCCAGGCATTCAGGGCTTGGGGAGGGGGAAAGGTAGGTCTTCTCAGGATGCTTTTGCCTCCTCCTCAAGTGCTGGGGAGAGAGTCTTGTCCTGCCCCGGTGAACCCAGAGTTCTGGGTACACTTGGCTATGGCTGAGTCTGGAGGCTGGAGAGGCCAGCGCAGCTGCTGCCCCTGACCAAAGTGAGTCTTGCTGGATACAAAGTGACCCGGATGTTGGGACTTGAGGGAGCCCGCACTGTCAGGGCAGTGGGCCAGCTGTGGGTCTGCGAATCAGGTAACTGGAGGGTCCAACCTGACTAGGTCTTTCCAGCCTCGCCTGAGCCTGGCGTCTTCACCTTCGTCTCCTGGGAGAGCCAAGTCTGGTGGAGCCCTTCACGTACACAGTCCCCCCCCCAGACTAGCCATCGGCTTTCCTGCCAGCTTTATGGGCTGATCCTTTGGGGCTGGGTGACACAGTTCAATGTCACAGGCCACTGGTGGCACATCCCATGAAAGAAGATCAATATATTACTGTTTCATTTTTTTACAAAACTTAAAAAAAAAAAAAAAGGCCACACGGATCTATATAGGTTGTGAGCGGTGTCTTGAGGATCACTGGAAAAAAGAGGAAAGACTTAAGGTGACAAGAGGCCTAGATGGGTCCCTGTGGCCCTCTGCCTCTTTCCAGGCCACCCTGTTCTGGCATCCCCTCCCCTTGCTGATTTCCTCAGGGACAGGTGTGACCCTACCTCACCCACTCACAGGGTAGCAGGGACGGAGTCAGTCACGGAGCACTCAGGAAGCCCTGCTGGCTTTTCACTGACTGGCTCAGATGCCATGTGAGACCCTTGAGTCCCTCCCTCCTCCCCCACTCCTCCAGGCCCATCCTGAGACTCTTCCCTGCAAGGTACCTTATGCCAGCAGCCAGGTACGGGCAGCCCATCAGGGCCCTGAAAAAGAAAGGAAGTTTCTGTGACAAACACAGAGACTGGTCCCCTCTCCACGTCCCACATGCCTGTCCTAGGGAGGTACAGCCAGGCAGCTGCCACCCAGGCAGGCGTGGACATCTCCTCTGTCCACCAGGGGGACACGCTGGCCCCTCGGGCACTGAGCACATTCTGACTGCTAAAGGGAAGGCTAGGACACTGTTATGTAATAGGCAGGGCTTGGGCACAGATGCCTCTCACAGGGTTATGGGAACAGCTCTGGAGGTGGCTTCTCTCCAGCTGAGATGGGGGATGGGGGTGGTGCTCCCGTTCTCAGGGAGGGACACTGGGCATGGGAAGATGGCTAGTCTGGGGGGGGGGGGTAGTAAAGCCATCAGACATGGGCAAGGGGGGGTAGATAGGTTTCCTCAGGCAGCCTGGAGAGAGGAGGTGGATGGGGACAAAGTGCAAATGATCGTGGGGCTCACAGGGGGGCAGAAAACACTCCACTCTGTTCCAAAGCACAGACACACATAATCGCCCCCCCCCCCCCCACGTGCACACCAGGGACCCGGGCTGCAGACCAAAGAGGGGGCGGGGTCATGGGGCAGGATGGACCGGCAGGCAGAAGCAAGGAAGGATGGGGCAGAGCTGGGAGCACTCAAACAGCCCCGCTGGCCCAGTGCAGCACACACGGCACACAGCAGGCCAGGCTGCATACCGCAGGGCAGGGCCCGCTGCCCCGGGCTGAGCCCCGAGAGCCCGGGGCCCCTCTCTTGTTTCCACATCGAGGATGGTCCTGTTTCAAAGACAAGAGCTCACTGACTTGCAGAAAAGTCTCGATCCCACACCTAGATCTGTAGAGCCTCCTGACCACTCTACGTGCCTTTTTTGAGATAGTCTTGCTATGGAGCCCAGGCTGGTCCTTGAACTCCCAAGCCTCTACCTTAGCCTCCTGAGGGCTGGGATTACAGGTGTTTGGTGCTATACTCAGCCTGCCTCTGCTTTTGCGGGCACCGATCTCTGCCTTTTGTGGCTTTTTCTCATTGGCTTTTGGGGTTACCACCTCTCTTGTATGGAGGAGAGGGGCACATTTACACAGAGGGGCTAAAATTTAGGGCTTCATTGGGGGCCAGAGGATTGATAAGACCTTTGGCTCTGGTCACCTGCATAGTCTCCAGGCCCCTGCTGGGGTGGCTGGGTATAAATACGAACAGTTTAGTGGAGACACCCACTTTTGGTTTTTTGTTTTTGGTTAGTTGTGGGCCTTGAACTCAGTGCCTGGGCACTGTCCTTGAGCTTTGGTGCTCAAGGCGAGCATTCTACCACTCTGAGTCTCAGCACTACTTTCTGTTTTCTGGTGGTTCATTGGAGATAAGAGTCTCACGGACTTTGCTGCTCAGGCTGGCTTTGAACTGCCATCTTCAGATCTTAGCCTCCTGAGTAGCTAGGATTGCAGGTGTGAGCCACCAGCGCCTGTATGTTCCCCTCCTCTCCCTTATCTTTTCTGAGCTCCACTGGAGGAGCCTGACATGTAAGTCCCCCTGCCTTCTAGAAGGCAGCAATGGATCTCTGCAGGTTCCAGGCACTGGATCTGGGGGACTACTGAGGCTGATCACAAGGGGGTAGGAAAGTAGGTAAGCTGGGAGAAGGAAAAGGACTGGACTTCAGGATTACAAAGGACGGTGGGCTTCCCTAGACTGGGAAACAACACTTCTGGGAAGGAGAGAAGGGGAGTAAGAGTCCTTTCTGAGATCCAGATAGCCATGGCCAGAGATGGGGGACTTGTAGGCTCTGTCTGCAGAGCAACTTGTCTGTGACTGCCAAACTTCCCTTCCAGCCCCCAGCCTCCTTCCAGGGCACCCCCCCCAAAATACCCACAATGCCGTGTAAAGCCTGCTCCACTCCTGGCCTGGCCCTTCTCTACTCTTAGCCTAAAATGGCCCAAGACAGGCGCCCACTTGAGTTGCTCTGAGACTGTGTAAATGGGGGACCCCAGCAAACAGATTCTGCCCATGACTGGGCCTCCACCTCCACACATTGCTCCGTCCTCCAGCCAGGCTGATGCTGGGTCAGGGAAGAGTGAGAGCCGCTGTCACAAATGAAGGCTGTGGTGGCTTGGGGCTCTGTCCTGTTTGGACACCTACCACAGGACATGGCTGGTCGAGGCCTGGAGGGCCCGGCTCTCCCTTCTGACCCTTTACTCCTTTCCGGCCGGGGACACCCCGTTCCCCCTGCACAAGAAGAAGGGATGGTGTGTTAGTCATGGTTGCCAGTCTTCAGTTCTTGTAGCCACTAAAGCCCTAGCCCCAGCTTCAATCCTGTCCTAGCTTGCCCATCCTCGCTCTGCCCCCAGCTTCTCTTTGCTGGCTTCTCCTTGTCCCCCACTCCTGCATCCCTTCCCCTTTCCCCAGGGCCCTCACCTTCTCTCCACGTTCACTTCGTTCACCTTTCTCTCCTCGGGGTCCAGGGAAACCCTGGCAAAAGGATTAAAGGTTAAACCTGAAAATGAGAGGCAGCCACGGTGGCTCATACCTGTAATCCCAGTGACTGGGGAGGCAGAGGTCAGGAGGATTGCAGTTTAAGGCCAGCCAGGGCAAAAATGTAGGGAGACCTCATCTCAATAATCTGGGCAGGTGGGTGACCACTATAATCCCCACTCTGTGGGAGGTTGTAGGGAGAAGGATCATGGATCATGGTCTGAAGCTAGCCAGGGGAAAAAAAGAAAAAAGAAAAAAAAAGCACAACAGTGTGGTACAACATTCATTTGTCCTTTCCTCTGTCTGTCCAGATAACTAACCAAAATGCTTAAGCACTCACTAGCTGGGATGCTGGGGACAGAGACAGACTGGCACTGGGGACAGAGAAATGGATCTGACATGTTCTGGTCTGCCTTTGTGTCTACTGGGGTAGAGCATGGAGGGCTGATGAGGGCACAGCGTAGTAGAGATAGGGCTGGTTTTTAAATCAAAATGGGGGTAAAAAGAAGCTTGGGAGCAAGGTTGAGATCTGCATGGAGTCCTGCGGGGAGAGGCCCAGGGGGCTTTCCAGGCAGAGTTGCTGGACAAGGCTTTGAGATGCCACCCTGAGCACCCAGGCCTCCTACAAGGTAGCGATGGCTACTCTCTTCCTCCTCCTTCTCCTCCTCCTCCTCTTCCTCCTTCTCATCCTCCTCATTCTCCTCTCCTCCTCTTCTTCTTCCTCCTTCTCCTCTTCTTTATTTTATGCCAGTCCTGGGACTTGAACTCAGGGCATGGGTGTTCTCCCTCAGCTTTTTTTGCTCAAGGCTGGCACTCTATCACTTGAACCACAGTCCACTTTTGGCTTTCTGGTGGTTAATTGGAGATAAGAGTCTCACGGACTTTTCTGCCTGGGCTGGCTTTGAACTGCAATCCCCAGATCTCAGCCTTCTGAGTAGCTAGGATTACAGGCAAGAGCCATGGGCAGCGGGCACATGGAAATTCTTTAGCCCATCCTGGGTCAGACCCTGATGGGGTTCCGTGTTGTGGCTTTCCAGGGCTGTGTCATGGGTGGAACCCAGCCCTCCCAGGCAAGCACCTCCACCAGCATTCTCTTTTGGGCCCATACTTGCTCTCCAAGGTAATGTTCTTGCTTTCAAGTCCTGGGAAGTCACCAGAATTCCTGCAGCCTTACCTCTGGTCACATTTCCCTCACAAGAGCAATGAGATTGTTCTGGAACCACCATCCCTCACCACAACCCACTGATTCCACTCAAAGACCTGCCCTGGACGGAGCCTGGTCAATGAAGACAGTATTCCTATGGCCCAGTGTTGATCAAAGACAGCCAAAGGCTTTCTTCTAGCAGGAGAGCAGGACCATTCTTCCTTTGTGCATTTGGGTTTTGCAAGATGCAGGTGAGGAGCTGCTGGCTCTCCTTCCCCTCCAGTGATCCCCACCCAGGGGAAGCAGAGGCAGGAGGGGGTGGGGTGGGGAATGTGGGCAGGACAGTGGCCTGGATGCATGTGATGAACCTCCAGACTTTTCAGTTCTGAGTCATTTCAAACTAGTTGCAACTAGGTTTTGTTTATGCTCTGAGACCAAAGGATGCCTGATAGAATCAACACCAGGCTCAAGCTTCCTTTGCTCTCTTTCCCACAATACCGCCCTAGCTGGAGGCTGCAACGGGCCCCCCATTGCTCTCCCCAGCTCCCTACTGCAAGATGTCATCCATTCATCCATCCAACATCCATCTGTTCACTTTTCCATTCACTCATCCACCCACCATGTACCATCCATCAGCCACCCATGCATCATCCATCGTCTATCCATCCATCTTCCATCATTCATTCAGCATCCATCCATCATTCATCTGTCACCCATCATCATCCATTTGCGTGTCCATCCATTATCCATCCACTTATTTATTCATTCACTTACCAATCCATCATCCCACCCATTCACTTATCCATCCATCCATCCATCCATCCATCCATCCATCCATCCATCCATCCATCCATCCATCTATTTGTCCTCCATCATCCATCCCAGAACACTTGCTCTAGTCTGTGTCCTGGGGGATGGGGGTCACAGATTGGGTTCTACATGGGCAATGGGGGCAGAGGACACACACACAGAAGGTGTCCAGTTACTTACATCGAGTCCGGGCTCCCCAGGTCTGCCCTGAGGAGAGACATAGGAGAGGGGGAGTGTGAGGAGCTGGGAGGGGGTTCTGGGAGCACAGCTTCTGGGGAGACCAGTCCTGTGGCATGGGGGGGGGGGCAGGGAGACCCTCTGAACATTCCAGCAGAGACAGACGGTATCACACAGTCACAGGCCCCTGGCCCCGTGAGATGCCGAGACCAAGCAGGTTACAGGGGTTGAACCTCAATGGCTCTTCTTGTCCACAGCTGGGGTGGGTGGGGCGGGGTGGGGTGGAGAGGTTGGCCAGATCACGTGTTACCTTCTCTCCTTTGGTTCCTGGCAGTCCAATAAGGCCTGGTGGGCCAACAGGTCCCTGGGTCAACAAGGAGTAGGTGAAGAGGCATGGCAGAAAAGGGGTGGGACATCTTAGTGACAAACAAGGCTCAGGACACTCACAGGCAGGCCATGGGGTCCTCTCTCGCCCGGTGCACCTTTCTCTCCTTTCGTTCCATCCAAGCCCTAGAAGCCAATGGGAAAACTACTCAAGGAGTGAGCAGGACAGGAGAAGGGAGCTTGGGGCCTATGTGGAAGCCAGGGTGTTCATGGAGGGGGCTCGGGGGACGTAGGGACAGACTCCAGCTTCCTCCCTGGCAAGAATGGAGGCAGTGTTGGGTGTGGACTGTTCCCTTTTAAAACATTTTTTTTTTTTTAAAAACTATGTCCTTTGTTAAGAGCTGGGCACTGGTGGTTCACGCCTGTAATCCTAGCTACTCAGGAGGCTGAGATCTGAGGATGGCAGTTCAAAGCCAGCCTGAGCAGCAAAGTCTGTGAGACTCTTTATCTCCAATGAACCACCAGAAAACAGAAAGTGGCGCTGTGGCTGAAGTGTTAGAGCGCTGGCCTTGATCTGAAGAGCTGAGAGACAGTGCCCAGGCCCAGAGTTCAAGTCCTAGGACCGAACCAACCAACCAACCAACCAAACAAACAAACAAACAAAAACTTTGTTAAGAACAAGATAAATATAAAGAGGATTGAACTTGAGGTGTGTGTGGAGAGGAGTTTGAGGTCACAGAGGGGAAGGGTGGGAGAATACAATCATAATATATGTATATATGTATATATGTGTGTGTGTGTATATATATATATATGTATACATATATATATATATATATATATATTCGGAACTAGAAAAGTTGAGGGGATGAGTAGAGGTGGGCAGGATGTGGGAGAAAGATGGAGGAGGTAACATCCATCAGGATGCATTGTACTCATCAACTGACATGTAGAACTGTAACCCCTTTGTTGAAATACTTAAAGTCAATACCATTATAAAATGTGTTATGAGAGGATGCTTGTGAGACATGTTCCCTTTGACCACACAGGGGCTCCCTCAGCCATCGTGGGGGGCTCTGGTCACGCACAGACAAGGAAAGCATGCAGAAGGGCAGGGCCAAACTCAGAGGCACAGATGGGCAGTGGCAGGCTGGCTATCTCTCCGGTCCCTGGGCTGGGCCTTGGACCAGGTCCCTGACAGCAGCTGCCTGTGCTGAGTGAGATCTGGGGCGGCCTTGGCTCACACGCTCGGCCTCACCTTTGGGCTGGGGAGACATGAAGGTGCTCTGCCCTTGGGGTAATGAGACAGGGGATGAGGCCAGCTGGCCTCCCCTTCTCTGCCTGCCTCGCTGGGACAGGCACACGGGTAGACCACACTGGGCGTTTTGAGGGCAGACAACATGGCATTGTGAAACTGACATCAAACCCAAGACTTCATTTGGTGTTTAGGCCTCGGGCAATGGAGAGACAGATGTGCATGGGCAAGCGGCGGGTGCAGAGAAACGCAGGGAAGGGGTGAGATGGGCCAGGGAAGACACAAAGTGGACCCCCCAGGGAGAAGTGGGGGAAGGAAAAGAACAGAGCCCCAAGCTTTGTGGGGGGAAGGGTGGCACTCTGAGGATATCAGTTCTGGTCCAAGGGGGACCATCAATTCTGCCCGCTCAATGATCAGCCCTGGAAGATTCAGGATCGGGTCATATTTCATACTTCACCCATTAGCAACTTTCCCCCCCCTCCTCCTTGGTGCTGGTCCTGGGGCTTGAACTCAGGGCCTGGGCACTATCCCTTGACTTTTTTGGTGGCGCAAACTCCACTTCTGGATTTTTGCTGGTTAATGATAAGAGTCTCAGAGACTTTCCTTCCTGGGCTGCCTTTGAACCACAATCCTCAGGAGTAGATGTGAGCCATTGGTGCTTGGTTCAGCAAGGCTCTCTGAACGGCTCACTGGGATGCTGAGCAAGAAGAGGGGATCTCCACTCACTCACCTTGGGACCTTGGATCCCCTGAAGGCCCTGGAGAAGGAGAATGCAGGTCAAAAAGCAGATCGAGAAGCTGTCTAACTGGGTACAAACTTCAGGGCAGCACCATCCTGGTACAGGGACCGTTCACTGGTCCTCGTGGCCCTGTCCCTTCCCCCAAGAGAAACCCTGTCCTCCCCTCTGCTACTGCTCCAAGGTTTAGGTCTACCGCCTTCTTGGTATCCCGTTTACTTTAAATAAACATTGTCCTTACCATGGGACCTGGGGGGCCAGGGGGGCCTGGGGGTCCTGGCTCCACTATGATCTGGGCCTAGGAAGGGTGAGAGATGGGTTTGTTACCCCTTGCCCTGCCATCCCTCAACTACCCACGCACTGGCTGGGCATCAAAGCTGAGCCATGGATATGGCTCCTTTTCTGAGAGCCCCACCAGCTGGCCTTCGGGGCCTTGGATGGGCCACACAGCCAGAGGCTCCATTGCTCCCCTCCCCCGCTGTGCTGGGTTTGGACAGGCCAAGGGGCCTTTGTGTCTCAAGGCTCAGGGCCCCCACCAAGCCTGGGGCTGAGAATTGGGGTGATCCCTGAGCCTCAGTACCCTCTTACCAGTCTTTCCTGCAGGCTCTCAGAGGCCGACTCTCCCTTCTCTCCCTTGGGGCCGTCAGCACCCTGCAGGGTAGGGTAGGATAGTCTGTGAGTCCTTCCTACTCATCTACAATCATCCCTCATGGCACCCAGCTACCTCCCCCCCCCCCCCCCCCCTCTGCAGCTCTACCAGAGCATCGTCTTGTGGGAGTGGAAAATGATTATTCCCATGCTGGCAGCAGGGAAACTGAGTTGAGGGGGGGGGTATTGGTGAGAACCTAGATGGCCAAATCCGGCTGAGTACAGGGACTGTGCCCCGCTCCACTTCACCCCTGCCCCTAGTAGTCACCAGTGGGCGCACATTCTTAGCAATAACTCCAGGATCGGTCACTAGGTGGGGCCCGATCCAGCCACTCACCGGGAGGCCCGACAAGCCCATCTCGCCGGCTTCCCCTTTGGCTCCGGCTGGCCCAGGCTCTCCTGGGTCTCCTTTTGGTCCTTTGGGACCCTGCAAGCCACCAGAATAAGGAGTCAGTGGGGATCAGCAGGCATTCTTTCTTCCCTCACCCCAGTGAGGTTCCTGAACATACTCAGGGCTAGGCTAGAGCGCCCCCGCCCCCCGCCCCTTTCTACTTAACAGGTCCCCACCTCCAGTCCAGACAGCTTGGGAACCTTGGCTAAGTTCATAGGGGAGCTGGGAGGGGACCCCCCCACCTCTGCCTCCTTGTATGCTTGGGGTGTAGGTAGCTTAGTCCCTGTGGGACTGGAATGGCTACTCTGGGGCATTCAAGGGGACCATCTCTAATTAACCACCCAAAAGCTGGAAGTGGAGCTGTGGCTCAAGCGGTAGGACATTAGACTTGAGCAAAAAAGCTCAGGGGTAGCATCCAGGCCCTGAGTTCAAGCCCCAGGATTGGCACATACACACAAAAAAGACACCCTTAGCTATCAAACCATATGTGCGTATCAGTGCATGCTCTCACACATGGGTAAACCTACAGTAAGACTAACAGTGACTGGCAGGCTATGAATGAATTTGTACATTCTCTAGTTCACAAGGTGGAGACAGAGATGTGCAGACCTTTTTGTGTTGTTGGTTGTGGGGCTTGAATTCTGGGCCTGGGCGCTGTCCTTCAGCTCTTCAGCTCAAGGCTAGCACTCTACCACTTGAGCCACAGTGCCACTTCTGGTTTTCTGGTGGTTAACTGGAGATGAGTCTCATTGGCTTTCCTGCCTGGGCTGGCTTTGAACCATGATCCTCAGATCTCAGCCTCCTGAGTAGCTAGGATTACAGGTGTGAGCCACGGGCAACCGGTGAGATGTGCAGACTTTAGAAGGTCGGCACCTTGCTGAAGGTCTTACGGGAGTTCAGCTCCAGACTTCATACTTAAAGTCACCCTATCCTGTGGCCTCTCTCTTACCCCTTTCCAGAATGATGTCTCAAACTTTACCTGTGTAGCTGCGCATGCACATGTGTGCATACACGCACACACGCACACACGTAGACACACACACACACATGCACACAGTGGATTACATAGCACCAATATCAGCAAGGAAATAAAAGGCACAGAGACCTTCTCTCCATCAATTCCTGGGGCGCCAGGCAATCCGAGCTCACCCTGGGAGGGGACAGAAATTAAAAGGAGTTAAGGACACACAGTGAGACCAAAGGAGGACACTCTTAGGAGAGGAACACAAAAGTGCAATGCCTATGTGTATCTGATCATACAAAATAATATTTATAGAAATGAACTCCAGGAAATGGAAAAAAGGCTGTTTTTTTCTTTGTTGCTGTTTTTGTTTTCTTTTCCTTTTGTCTTGTTTGTTCATTTATCTGTCTTTGGGAAAGGTAAGCAGGGGCACAGAAATGGATGGACAAAGAGTGAACAAATGCAGCAGTGCTACTCACTGGACACTATGCTGAAAATAAACTATACAACTCATGGGTAGGAAGAGGGAAAAACTGGGAGAGAGGGAGGGAAGGGATGACATTGCCCAAAAAGAAATGGACTCATAGCCCAGCGCTGGTGGCTCACGGCTGTCATCCTAGCTACTCAGGAGCCTGAGATCTGAGGATCACAGCTCAAAGCCAGCCAGGGCAGGAAAGTCTGTGAAACTCTTATCTCCAATAAACCACTAGAAAACCGGAAATGGCACTGTGGCTCAAGCAGTAGAGTGCTCACCTTGAGCTGAAGAGCTTAGAGACAGGGCCCAATCCCAGAGTTCAAGCCCCATGACTGACCAAGAAAAAAAAAAAAGTACTCATTACCTGATTTAGGTAACTGTAACCCCTTACCTTCATAATAGCAATAATTAAAAAAAGGGAAATAATTCTTGGGTAAAGTCTTTCTTTCTTTCTTTCTTTTTTTTGGTCCAGTTGTGGGGCCTGAACTCTGGGCCTGAGCACTGTCCCTCAGCTCTTCAGCTCAAGGCTAGTACCCTACCACTTGAGCCACAGCGCCACTTCTGTGGTGCTAAGGAATCGAACCCAGGGCCTCAGGCATGCAAGGCAAGCGCTCTACCACTGAGCCAACTTCCCAGCCCCTTGGGTAAAGTCTTTCTCCTGAGACACCTGGGAAGCAGGTTGAGGAGTAGGCAGCTACAGATGTGGACATTTATTTACAACTTGCCATGATGACCTGCTGGACCACTTTCAGTGTTTCAATGTGTGTCTGAGGCTTCTGTGGAGGGGTGGGGGCGGGTGGAGCTAGCACCCAGGGAAAGAGGCAGTCACATTGGTTAGGGAGGTATAGAGCCCTTTTCTTCTGAGCCCTGCGAACAGACACAGGAGAGTAGGGCATAGGGGAGTGGTCTTGGAGAGAGGGTTTGGGGACCCTGTAGCAGCATGGGTACTGACCTTGGCTCCGGGCACCCCTGGTGGTCCTGGGGCTCCCTGTGGACCAGGAGGACCCTGAGTGTGTGTGAAAATCAAGCCAGTCAGTGGTGAGTCAGGGCTTTCCCCCACTGCCCACCCAGACCAACACTCGGGCCCAAGGCTTTGTCCAGCCAGACCAAGAGACCTGCTGCCCACTTCCCACTCAGCTTGGACTGATCCCCGGGATGGGCATCGGGCATTTGATAAGATACCACGTGTTGGTGCCACAGAGGGCCCAGAATTCCTCTGTCCCTCGGAGCCCATCTCCCCGCAATAAGGATTTCTTCACAATACTCTCCTGCTCACAGTTCTGTAATGGCTCCCTACTGTGTTTCCAAGCAAGCTGAAATCTCCCGGTGATGTTCACTTGGATAATCACATCCAAGAAAGTGGCCTAGCCCTGCCCTGTCTGTCTGTCCTGTGAGTGCTGGCCTTCTGGTCCCTGTTCCCTGCTGTCCCCAGGAGTTCCTCAGACACAGTGACCCCATTTCTAAATGCTGTCCCAACCCACGCTTTTCCACAGGTCACCTGCCTACCACAGCTCATTGCCACCCCCAATTCAACCTCCAGGCTCATGCTCCCCACCCGGGCGACACCCCATACAGCTTCGCAGTACCTGACAAGCTCTAGTCCTTATCTTTCCCCTCCTCTTCCCAACCTGCTCCCATTGGTGTCTCCACTGAGACATCACATCCAACTCCTGACTCCCTGCACTCATAGGGCTTCTACCAGCCAGCCGGGGCACACCATGCATGGGCAGGCCCTCAGGCCACAGCACACCACACCACACATCACACTACACCGTGCAGGCCTGGATTGGCCACAGTTACCATCAACATGTACTTCTCTGAGGCCTGCAGGAGATAATTGAATGGAAGCTCATTGGAGTCATGTGCCAATGTCCGGTGTGCCCTCTGATAACTATTCCACCCCTCACCGCAGCTCTTTCTCTTGGTACCCATGAGCAGCTGGCACCTGACTTCACTCTGCACTGGTCTGCACTCACCCCAGGTAGGCCAGGGACTGAGCAGGGATTGGAGGCCACACCCGGCCCAGGGTTCCTGTATTAGCCCTGGCCTCTCTTGTCCTCCATTTCACAGCAGTTATTAGAACATAGCCTTCTGGCCAACGATCCCTAGAAAGGCCCCAGGAGACGTTGCTAGGCATAGCACTGCTTCCTATCCCAGAGAGAGAGAGAGAGAGCTCTGGGGAGCTCAGGGGTCACATGAGCTGTATTCACAGCAGATTTCTTAGCCATGTGGGGTTCAATACCAGGTATAGAGGCCTTTGTGCCAAGCTGCTCCTGGTTCTTTGTGTAAAGAAGTACAAGACTAGTATGTAAAGCAAACCACTGTTCCCTCAGGAATGGACATTCAGGGTGCCTCTGGGCCTACCAGATCCCTACCTTTAGGGCATCCAAGATCCTGCCATCGTAGTCGATCACCACTGTGTCTCCTTGCTCACCTTTGAGGCCCTGGGGACCCTGAAATAGAAAAGTAAAATTTCCGGGAAGAGCTGCAGTGGTGGGTGCTTCTTCCCCTTCCCCAGGAAACAGAGGAGTCAGAAACTCTTCGGTTCCTGCCCAAGGTCAGCTCCTTGCACAGAGGACACCAACCCCACACCCAGAGCCTAGTCTCATCCCCCAGCCACCCACAAGGCCAACTTGGCAATGCTTGAGGGGACGAGACTTGAGGGGTGACACAGCCAAGGATGGGATCTGGAGGTCAACCTACAGGTCAGCTCACTTGGCTGCTAACAAAAGGTCTGTGTATGGATTTGCTCCTGGTGAGAAGGCCTGGGTTCAAGCTCCAGTGCCAGCAAACCCTAATCAATTAAAACACTAAAGAAGGTGCCCAGGTCCTGCAGTTCCATGGCTCCTCTGGGTCCCTGGATCCCACTGCCACGTGGAGGCTGCTTACCCGGGGCCCCGGGGCTCCGTCGGCACCTGGGTGGCCAGGCTCACCCTGTGGAGATACATGGTTGCTGGTGGTATACAGCTCCCTCTATACTCCTGCCCTGCCCCACCTTGCCTCCAGTTCCTGCTCCCCTAAGTGCCCAAGTGCTAGAGTCCTAACAGCTTATAAACCGGAACCACCTTCCAGGGAGGGGACCCACCATGCCCACCTCTGACCCACAGTGTATGGAGCTGGGGACACTGGGGCCAGGGGACACAGTGGGTAAGCACAGAGCCAGGCCTGACTAAGGCCTTGTCACACACTCCAATCCACCGTCATGGCCCGCCAGATCAGCCTCTGATTGAGTCCAAGGAGGTTACTGATCAGAACCCCCTAGTTAAATCACCTCTTTCTCTCTCTCTCTCTCTCTCTCCTCCTCTCTCCCCTCTCTCAACTGGGTGATGGGCCTTCAGGGGCTAGAGCAGAGCACTAATATCACCTTTGGTCCTGGGGCACCATCCATGCCGCTCTCTCCTTGGGGTCCCACACTGCCGGGCTCACCCTGAAACAGAAAGGCTCCCAGTGATGGGGGTGAGCAGGCCTCCCACTGAATGCACCGGGTAGGGGGAGGTACTCAGGACCAGGCTATTGCCTTCTAGTCTGGGTCTTGGCACATAGTTGGGGGCAGCTCAGGGTTGAGGAAGGTATACAGATGACACCTAGTTCCCAGCTTGGGGACAGGGCAGACAGCGGGTCATCTAAGGTAGGAAGCTAGAGGACTTGGGGGACAGATGGCTTGGGGAAGATGTCAGACGTTCCAGCATTGGGGCCCAAGGCCTTTCTGCTTCCTGCCCTGGCCATCAGCAACCATATCCCCCAGGATATAAAAGGGCAGAGATAGAGGCATTGCCAGGCCACTGTGGAAGGAGGGAGGGGGGAAGGACTGGAGGGGAAGGGCGTGTACATACCTTGGGCCCTGGGAGTCCGGGGGGCCCTGGTTGGCTGGGTATCCCATCATCCCCCTGAGGAGAGAAGAGCTAGAGTTATAGTCACCATACTTGGACACCTGGCCACACCCTCTGGTGGCCAGATGGCTCCTCCCTTTCCAGCACAATAAACCAATCCTAACACCAGCCTAGGGCAAAAGCAGTTCCTTCCTCCTAGCTTTGTAGGGCAGGGGTGGGGTCAGATCTATGTCTGTGCCCTAGTCCTGAGCAAGCCTCAGCAAGTGTGTGTATAAATAACAGACAGGTGACTGGATGGATACCCATCCATCCATCCACCCATTCACCACAGAGTTGGGAAGATGGAAAGAAACTTAGGGAAAGTTTCAACGATGGGGCAGTTTGCTGGGAACTAGTGTGTGTGTGTGTGTGTGTGTGTGTGTGTGTGTGTGTGTGTGTGTGTGTGTGTGTGTGTGTGTGTAGACTCTGTGTGGGAAAAGGTGAGGAAGATTATCCTGGTTTGGCAGTGGGATACCAGTTCCTATCAGTGGCCTCCAGAGAGGCCTACCTGCCATCCCAGTCTCTGAGGTAATGGGCCTTAGAATTTCCATTTCCAATGAGGTCCTGGGAGATGTTGGTACTGCTGGTCCCAGGACCACACTTTGAGAATAGGCTGCTAGCCTCGATGCAGGGTTGAATTTGATGTGTTTGAGGAAAAGGAAAGAATGAGTGAGTGAGGGAATAAATGAATGAAGCCTGGCTTCCCTGAAACATAGAACAGGTCAGCTGCCCACAGAGAGGACTTCCTGGGGACAGAGACACCTTTCTTATGGGGACACCCTGTCCTCAGCCTCTCCGCAGCCCCTGCCCATCTCTCCAGCTACTTCTTGACATTCTGGACAAGAAGCAATTCTGCAGGTTTCCCTCACCTTCTCTCCTGCCCATGGTCATGGAACTGAGACTCTCAACCCTACCATGCTTGCTTCAGTGGATATAGGGAGGGGTAGGAATGAAAGGGGGTGGTGGTGAGGGAGACTATCACTTGAGATGGGGAAAGGGATGAGGAACACTCACCTTGGGTCCTGGGGGTCCCTGAGGGCCCTGGAACAAGAGAAGGGGTTAAACATTATCTTACTGTGTGTGTGTGTGTGTGTGTGTGTGTGTGTGTGTGTGTGTGTGTGTGTGTGTGTGTGTGTGCTGTTATTGAGACTTGAACTCACAATCTGGGTGCTGTCCCTTAGCTTTTTGTGCTCAAGGCTGGCACTCTACCCCTTGAGCCTCAGCTCTGCTTCCAGCTTTCTGGGATTCAACTGGAGATAAAGAGTCTTATTGACATCCCCATTCTGGCTGGCTTTGAATCAAGATCTTTACATCTCAGCCTCCTGAGTAGCCTGGATGATGGTTGAGAGCCAACAGTGCCTGGCCACATGCGTGCACCCATACACATGCATGTACGCACGTAGGCATCCCAGATGTATGTTAGAAAGGGGTTTAACATCCGGGTCTGGGAACTACAGCTCTGCCAGCCCAGGCCTTGGAAATGCCCTGATACTCACCATCTGACCATCTTGTCCAGGCTCTCCCTTGGGACCCTGAGGTAACAGGAGAACAGCAATGAGGGACTCAAGGATGTCACATTAACTGAGCCCCACGTCTCACAGCTGGGGCTCTAAGTACATAACTGCAATTCATCTTCCCTGAACTCTGCCAAGTGGGGGTTGGTGTCTACACCTCACAGATGAGCAGGTTGAGGCTTATGGAGTCATGTGTCTAACACAAGGAAGGGACAGGTCAACTGCAGTGTTACCCTGATAGGGGATCCTGGGGCATTTGGGTGGAGGACTGGGTTCTGTCTTGGAAGGGAAGGGCAGGCTGGGGTCCTTGGGGTAGGGTTGGGGGTGTTTGAGTGAGGTGTGTGAGGCCTTCAGCGTTTGGGTTAGGACTACAAGAGGAAGCTGAGTCTAACAAGTCATTATGGGCAGGCAGGGGAAGCGGGGCTGGAGAAGACTGTCTGGGGGCGGGGAGAGTTGGGGTGATGACTGGGGCTGACTGCAGCTAAGGTCAGGGGCTATGGGACTATTTGGGACATCAATCTTGGTTTGGAATCAGGGTCAGAGTCTACAGGGAGTCAGGATTAGGATCGGGGTAATAGTGTGAATTGGAGGCATGAATCCGGACTTGGGAATGAGTTTGGGGCCAAGGTCTTGTTGGGGGTGAGGAACGAGGTCACTGTTAGATTCAGGCTTGGTTGGGGCAAGGGACTGGGTTAGGGCTCAGATCTAGAGTCACAGACAGGATTTGAATTGGGATTGGGCTTCAAGTTAAGGTTGGGTTTAGGTTCTGTGTCTGCATTGGGGTGAAGGTTGGAGCTGGGTTTGAAGTAGGGTTTGAATTGGGATTTGAGGTTGGCTCTGGGGTCAGGGTTTGAGGTTGGGTCAGTACAGGGCCAAAGTTTGGATACCCCAACTCCATGCCTTTTCTTACCACTGGGCCTTGAGTCCCCCTAGGTCCATCTTTCCCCGTGTCACCAGGAGGGCCACGGGCCCCAGGTGGTCCAGGGGGCCCCGGAGGCCCTGCAGCTCCATCTTGCCCTTGATCTCCCTAAAAGACATGGAGTTTAGCATGACCTTAAGGATGAAGGGAAGGATGCCCAGTCCCCCCGCCCCTAAAGCTCCTTAGACATGCAGTCCCTAGGCCTTCTGCTTCCTCCGCCCTTGAGACAGGCTGAAAGGGACAGTTTTCAATATGAGTTTCTCCATGGCCCTACAAAGGGATAGGTTGCTATCTATTGACTTAAGAGGCCCAACAGGACCTTTTATACTCCAAGAAAATGAGCTAACTGTTCAGCACCTGAAGCCTATGATATGGTGTTTAGGAGAGGACAGGTGCTAGAAATAGGTAAAAGTACATGTGCCACCCTGCCTTCTTTCCTGAAGGAAACCGAGTGTCTCCTGAAAGAACTTCCTGGTTCTCTCTCTCTGTGCTGGTCCTGGGACTTGAACTCAGGTCCTGGCTGTTTCTCTATCACTTGAGCCACAGCTCCGTTTTCAGCTTTTTGGTGGATAAAAGGCTCACAGATTTCTGCTGGGGCTGGCTTCAAACTGCAGTCTCGGCCCCGCTGAGTAGCTAGGGTTACCGACATGAACCACTGGTGCCCGGCTTACAAAACATTTTTGAATGGCAAAATTATACAAATGCACCCATTATGCAAATGCATCCATGTAATAACACTGCATAGAACAAACCACACACTTGAGCACACAAACAAATGAGGGTGTATAAAAATTAGGTCAGTCTGAGTAAGGCTAGTGGGTTGTATGTCAATTTCCTGGCTGTGAGATTAAACAACAGTAAAGCAAGATGTCTCCCTTGAGAGGAACTGAATGAAGGGTATGTAGTGTGTCTATTTATTGCACATGCGTTTAAGTCTATAATCATATCAAAATAAAAATAATGAACCAATATATATTATATATATTAAAGGAAATGCAAGAAAGGGAAATATTGTCTCATGCAACACCAAGTCCTCAACTATTGGATCCAATGTTAGTACTGGGTCAGACCTCAGGCAACCACGGCCTTCACCTTATGCCCACTCTGCAGGGGGGAAACCTACAATATAACTGACACCATGGTGTGTGTGTGTGTGTGTGTGTGTGTGTGTGTGTGTGTGTACACGCATGTGAATGCCAGTACTGGGGCTTGAACTCAGGGCCTTCCACTCTTGTTTGGATTTTTTTTGCTTATGGCTTCTTGAGCCAAACCTCAACTTCTGGCTTTTTCCTGGTTAATAGGAGATAATAATTTCATGGACTTTGATTCTCAGATCTCAGCCTCTTGAATAGCTAGGATTATAGGTATGAGCCACTGGCATCCAGCTAACTGGCACCTTCTTACTGCCCAACCCTAGCACAGGGCCCAGTGAAGGGCACATCAGGCCATAGTACCAGTAGTTCAGAGATAATTGCTTTTCTTTTTTTTCTCCAATTGTGGGGGGTTTGAACTCAGGGCCTGGGCACTGGTTTTTTTTGCTCAAAGTTAGTGCTCTACCACTTGAGCCAACGCACCATTTCTGATTTTCTGGTAGTTAATTGGAGATAAGAGGCTTACAGTCTTTCCTGCTCCGGCTGGCTTCAAACCATGATCCTCAGATCTCTGCCTCCTGAGTAGTTAGGATTACACTGGCACTTGGCTGAGATAATTGCTATTAACCTTTGTGATGAGCTAAGGGAACTCTGTTGTTCCATTTTACAGATGCAGTCTGTGGGGCCAGGGAAGGTACTCACTCCCTCTGGATTAGAACTAGGAGGGGCAGAGCCTCCTTTCACGGTCAAGGTCTCTTTTAGATGACTCTTCATCCGTGGGTTACCATGTCAGGGAAAGAGTTCAGCTTTCTAGCAAATCACACTTAAAACATAATGCCCTTGTTTTCCCAATTAACAACATTTATCAGAAGTCTTGAATGTCTACTACCATCCAGTTTTTCTGATCTGTCTGGCACCATTGAGGTCCTTTTCAAAACAGAACTCCAGACAGAAGGAAAGAAAATTGGCATTATGGTTAGGTCAACTGACTGTGTAACATTGAACCAGGAAGTGTTCCCTGCTACTTCCTGTGGTTCCTTTTACAGCATAGAGGCCCCTCCCAGTTTGGGAGTCAATGTGGCTTGGATTTTATTTATGGAGGCAGAAGGTGGAAAGTAGAGACACTTGGACAGGTCCTGGGTATATGTACAAGTCCTCAGCTTCTTTCTGGCTTAGCCCAACCCCTCCATCCTCAGGGACTGGATGTCTGAGGTTGGACCCTGGAAATTGGGGTGAGTAGGAGAGGGGAACACAGCAAATCAGCAGGCCCCCCCCCCCCCCCCACTTAGCCAGTCTACCTTGAGGAGGCGGAGATTGTATGGCCTGTGGTCTCTACTTATAAAACCCGCATTGAGCCGTGGGAAAACCATCTGGTCAGGCCAGCAAACAAGGAGTGTGTTCAGAAAGGTCAGGAGAAGAGGGTTTCAAAAAAAAAATATCACAAGGCTGCTTCTGGAGCCAAAGCCAATTAACCTAGCTCAGAGAAAGGCAGCTGCATGATGAGTATGCAGACTCCCCTGCTCCAAATGTCTGCGCTGTTGGCCCCTCCCTTGGGCTCCTTTGCTGCTGTCCATCAAGAGTGGAGGCCTCTTTCCCCACCCCTTGACTCCGTCACATACTGGGCCTTCCTGCTTTGCAGAATAGCTTCCATATAGCCACCCAGAAAGCAAACATCTTCTCAGCAGCCGCAAAATAACATGAGTATTTTTTCCTTTGACTTCAGAGACATACCAGCTTTCATTGTCCCTGGTCAAAGGACCAGCACAGGACAGCTCTGTCCCTCAGAACGGCCCAGATCACAAACATCCCATGATATTGCCCCTCTGTCCTCCATTTCCCAGAAACTAGACTCAAGGCCATGAATCTGCAGTGCTTGGCCCCAGCCCAGCCTGACTCCAAAGATGGAGGATCCCACCTCAGCCCTCACCCCAATGCCTCCTCTCCCCGGATTGTGCCCATTGTGTCCCAGTGGCTCATTTATCCTCCATTCCATTCCTGTCTCCAGCACACGTAGATGATTGATGGGAGTTGCAGTGACTTCCCTTAAACCTTCTTAGAAACAACTTGGTGTACAACTCCACTTGGCCTTTCCCTGAGCAGCCAGAACCTGCCTCTCAATCTCTGCAGCAAGCAAGGGCTTTTTACCCTGGAACATGCTGGAAGCAGCCAGGGAACTTGCTTAGGGCTAAGCGATTCACTGCTGAGACCCAGTGTGTGTGTGTGTGTGTGTGTGTGTGTGTGTGTGTGTGTATTCAGTCTCAGTTGAGGAGACCTTGGGTTCAGTACAAAGTATTTCTAAGCTGGTGCTGGGTGCTGGCTGAGGACTACAGTGAATCTCTACAGCACCTTTAAACTTTAAAGATCACTTGTCTGGTAAATGCTAGCGCTGAGCTTTAGGGTCAGCTCTGTTGACCGCCTGGCCTTCGCTTTTCTTGGTACCTGCTTTCTTTGGGAAGGTCAGTTTTAGTCAGAGACCAGGGTCATCCCCTCTATGTGGAAGATGCACTATCACTGTAAAGATTCAGCATGGGCCAAACCATGCTGCCTGGGGGCTTTCACACAGTGGCCAGGGGCAGAAATGGGGGACTGCCTCACTCCTGTTTCTGTAGTGAGCTCTCCAGGAGAGCTGGGATCTAGAGAAATCTAGCTACGCTATATGATAATAACAATACACAAACCATGTAGGGCAGGTGAGGGAGATGGTGCTCCATTCTTACCCGGGGGCCAAAGTCTCCTGGTGCACCCTGAGAACCAAACACAGGGAAATAAATCACTATGGCTTTTTGTTTTTTTTTTTTGAGGCTTCCTATTTCATATTCATCATGTACTCTGTACTTCTACGGACTGACTTCATGCTAACAAAAACAGGCAAACTTTCTGTTAATCTCTATTTCCAATAAGGAAACAAGAGTCACAAAGAGGCCTAGGAAATTGCCCAAGGTCACACAGCTGGAGATCATGTAGCCCCCTGATCTACAGCTGACTTCTAGCCATTTAAAGCTCCAGCCATGATGGCATAGGCCAACCGTCCTCACTTTGTTTTCTCAGACTTTGGACCAGTGAAGGACAACACTGATTAACTGTATATGAATTGATTAATTGTATATTAATTATATATTAAGCCAGCAAGTTTTGGGGCAGTGTGTTATATAATAATAGATACCAAGAACACCAGTTCCCTCTGGCTTCAAAGCTTCTACTTGAATTATTTCTGTGGCTCAATGGCATCTGCCAGAACCAGTGAGAAGACAATCAGCCACCTGCCAACTGGTGTCTTCCTCATTGCCAAAGAACTTTCAGATCTCTCCTGCAATCGTCCCCAGTGCTCTTTGAGATTAGTTTGAATTCACAGATGGGGAAAGGAAGGACCGCAGAGCAGGCAGCTGGCCCAAAGCCACACAGTTGGTGATGGGCCTTTCAGTTGGGATGGTGGCCTGGAACTCTTTACCTAATAGGTCACATCCCAGCGAAGTCTCCTACTCAAAGCTCTTGCTTTGCCATCTCCAAATTTCAGATCAGGGGTAAATGTGGCCTGACCATTCCAGCCCTTCTAGAAGTCTGCTCTGGACACATCTCTCTATTTATTTATTTTTTTGGTTGTGGGGCTTGAACTCTGGGCCTGGGTGCAGTTCCTTAGCTCTTCAGCTCAAGGTGAGTGCCCTACCACTTGAGCCACAGTGCCACTTCTGGCTTTTTCTGAGGAATCGAACCCAGGGCCTCATGCGTGCGAGGAAGTACTCTACCACTGAGCTACCTTTCCAGCCCCTGGACACATATCTCTTTAGCTCCCTTCCAAGGCATGTGCCCATCAGGGTGGTCTTGGACACAAGGGGCTAACAGCTAGCCCTCTGCCTCTGTCTTCTCTCTCCCAGAGAGAAAGCCATGAACACTATTCAGTTTCCCCAGAACCTTGCTTTCCCTGCTGGGGTAGACTGTGTCCTGTTGTTATGCTCTGCTGCCAGAATTCAGATTCGACCCTCCAAGCATACTCCCTTCCCAAATGTTAGCCTCACAACCACCTTAGAAAAGAGGCATTATGTGCCCTATATTATAGACGGGGAACCGGAGGGACTAGGAGGGGCCGTGGCTTGTTTAAGGTCACACCCTGGAAGGTGCTGGAGGCAGGTCTCTGGAATCCTTCATCAGCCCACAGCATCTGGACAAGTCTCCAGCAATACTCACCTTTTCCCCTTTGGGGCCTGGAAGTCCCTGGAGAGGAAGATGGAGAAACAACAGGTGTGAGGGAGAAGGATTAAGTTGGTACCCCTTCCCGCTGCCCCACGGATTTGGGGGATGAAGGGCCTGTGATGCTGAGCAGAGCTGTGGGCAGCTGAATGGAAAACTACACACAAGTCTGTCAGTCCTTAGTAAGAACTGCATTTGCCTTGTGGGAGCTCCAGACCTCAGTCTCCAGCATGAGGGAGATGAGGGACTGGGTGTCACCAGCAAGGGTCCATGGGCAGGAAAAGGGGCACACACACTAGCTACTCCTCTCCTGGGGCACAGATCCTTACTGATTAGCATCTGCCTGGGCCTAGATGCTGGTGAAGAGGTCATTATCCTGGGGTGTTTGTATGGAATCTGTAAGGTGGGTTGTGACAGAGATTTTTCTCTCCAGAAGCATATTATCTTTTGAGATCAGCAGCCTGGCATCCAATCATCCCTGAACTGGTTGGTCATCCATCTATCCACCCAATCCATCCATCCATCCATCCATCCATCCATCCATCCATCCATCCATCCATCCATCCTCCCATCCATTCATCCATCCTCCTATCTACCTATCCATCCATTTTCCTTTTCATCCATCTATCTATCTATCCATCCATCCATCCTTTCATCTATACATTAATCTTCCTGTTCACCCATTCATCCATCCTATTCATCCATCCAGTCATGCATCTATCCTTCTATCCATCCAACCATCCTCCCATCTACCTTCCTTCCTTCCCCCCTTCTCTCCTCCCTTCCTCCCTTCCTTCCATTTTTACTGTGGGGGTGGCCCCTTGTGAACCGTGTTGGCTGCAAGGGAAGCATCTCTTTCAATCCCAACCTTCTATGGAAGGTCAGTTCACAGCATTGTTCATAGTACTCAGAATCCCCAGCCTGGGGAGTTCACCTTGGGGCTGATATCCTTGACCAAGTACTGAGCTACTTACCAGCCTCTATACCATCCTAAATGCAACTGGTTTGCTCATTCATTCATTTAGTCCACCTAGATGGTCAGTTCTCTCCTTTTCTCTTTTAATAATTTGGTCTATGAATGAAATCATTCATGGTCTCCTTATTATATTCTATAAATCCATGCCTATATAATTATTAATTACTTCACTGGACAATCTATTCATGCATTTATCTGTCTATCAAGTCCATCTCTATCTGCCAATCCCTCCACATCCAGTTGTTCATGTAATTGTGCCGTGTTTCCCAGTGCATCTTGTTCAGCTGGCTCAGGATGTACGTGGATGATAAGCTCTTGGACCAGGTGTTGAGACTTCTCAGCCTGATGCTCACCCCATAGCAGAGACACGGTGTGCCTGAGGCTAGCTGGGGTCGCTTGCAGACTTCTGAAGGCTGCCTGAGGGCTGGCCACAGACCCCCAAATCCCAAGACAGAAATGAACCTACCCATCTGACAGCCAAGAAGGGAAAGGGACTTATGTCTGCAGTCAGCAGGTGATGGACATACATATATCCAAGTGGCTTCTCTCTCCCCTGAACCAAACTCCCTGGGTTCCCTTTCCTTGCGTGCCCCATGGCCACTCCCACCCCATCCTGGGACCCGCCTGCTCCTCTCACTTACGGGTTTGCCATCCAGACCCAGGGGGCCCTGCAAAACGAGAGAGCAAAGGTCACACACAGGAATGGCATAGATGAACGCCTGTCTTGAACCCAGGAGGATGGGGACAACATTCGCAGGCTGTCTGCTCCTCACAATTCCTTCCTCTGACCCCCCAAGTGTTCTCTAAAGATACCCCTCCCCCAACAGTGCTTGGGTAGGGCTGCTGGTCAAGGTGACAGATGCAGATAGGAGGCCGACACCCACCCTGGGCCAGAGTGTCATGCCTGGACATCCCATGGTGGGTTTTTTTGGGGAGGGGCGGAGGGATTGGGGAAGAAGCCTACTCCCCCGATGAGGTGGAGCCTGAGCTCCTGGGGCCATTAGACAGCTGGAGAGAGAGTCACAGAGAGGAAGGCAGAGCTGAGTTGGAAAGTCAAGGCTGCAGGTGCCCCGCCCACTTGTTTGTGCACCCAGACTGATTCGCCTACGCCAGCTTGAGTTGGAGGAGTCCTGGCAGTTCTCTGAGCATCCGGCATGGCTGTGGATTGTGCATGCAAAAGAACACGGCCAAGAGAAGCCAAACAACACCAGGGTAGGTGCTGAGCGCTGGGGCATCTCAGGGGCCTCCAGGGCTTCTGCGGTGTCTGTAAAGAGCCAGAGACCACAGCACGGTAACACCTACTAGATACCCTTCACCAGTCCACCAGCGAGGCTCTCCTCTCTCCTTCCTCCTCCCCAACCCATGCAGGGCTGTAGGGGATTCTATCCAATGGGGACACAGATTAAAGTCTCTGCCAGATCCTGTTCCCCTTCCCATCACCATCCCCTCAACCCCACAGACCCTACAGCATAGCCTGGAGCACATACTGCCTACCTGCTCAGTTCTCTTTCCCCCCACCTTTTTTGTCGGTTGTGGGGCTTGAACTCTGGGCCTGGGCACTGTGCCTCAGCTCTTCAGCTCAAGGCTAGCACTCTACCACTTGAGCCACAGCACCACTTCCGGCTTTTTTTTTTTCTTTTTGCTTATGTGGTGCTGAGGAATCGAACCCAGGGCCTCAGGCATGCAAGGCAAGCGCTCTACCACTGAGCCACCTTCCCAGCCCCCCCCCTAAACTCCCCCCCCCCCCCCCCATCAAGGTTAGCTACTTGAGCCACAGCTCTACTTCTGGCTTTTTGGTGGTTAACTGGAAGAGTCACAAGGATTTTCCTGCTCAAGCCGGCTTTGAACCTCATTTCCTCAGTTTTCTGTCTTGAGCCACTGGCACCCAGCAAATCAACTTGTTTTCACCAGTAAGAAAGATAATGTGCTACTACAATCCAGGTTGACTATCCCTTATCCAGAATGCTTGGAAACAGATAGAGTGTCTTGGGTTTCAGGGTTTGGAGTAGCATAAGCATCCTTCATCTAAAAACCCCAACTCCACAATGCTCAAAAATCTTCGCCATGAAACAGTTTCACACTCAAAATCACTAAAAATACTTTACAAAATTACCTTCACGCTAGGGGTGTGTGTGTGTGTGTGTGTGTGTGTATGAAGCAAATGAATTTCATGTTGATTTCATACATACACAAATACCAATGGTGGAATATCTCAGAATCTTAAATGCTTGGGACCAGAATCCTTTTTGGAGTTTTCTGGATTTTGGAATATTTGCATTTGCATAATAAGGTATCTTGGGCAAGGGGCCAGAGTCTAAACGCACTGTCCATCTATGTTTCATTTTTTTTTGACAGTTGTGGGGCTTGAACTCAGGGTCTAGTGCAGTCCCTGAGCTTTTTTGCTCAAGGCTCTTGTTACACCACTGAGTCACAGCTTGACTTTTGTTTTTTAGGTGGTTAATTGGAGATAAGAGTATCACGGACTTTTCTGCCTGGGCTGGCTACAAACCTCGATCCTCTGATCTCAGCCTGAGTAGCTAAAATTACAGGTGCCAGCCACCTGTAAATTTATATAGACCAGCCTGGTCTATATTTCACATGTACATTATCCATGTAGCTTGAAAGTAATTTTATACACTATTAATAATTTTGTGCTGTGTAGAATTTTCCTCTTTGGATTGTCATGTGGGTGCTCAAGAAGGTTTGGGTTTTGAAGCATCTCATATTTTTAGAGGAGGGATGTCAACCTGTCATAACCAGCAGAAAGAAGAGGTTCATATACAGCCTTTGTTCTGGAGGTTCAAAGCGTGGAAAGGCTATATCCAGATTTGGGGTAAGAGGTTGAGAGACTAGAGAGAGTAGAATGTAATGCTCAGGTTTAGACTTTTTTTCTGTATGTGTATGTGTGTGGTGGTACTGGGGATTGAACTTAGGGTTTCATGCTCTTGTTTTTCTGATCGGGACCAGTGCTCTACCACTTGAGCCACACTAGTCTAGCTTTTTTTATCGGTTGTAGGACTTGAACTCAGGACCTGGGCTTTTACCTTCAAGGCTAGTGTGCTACCACGTTAAGCCACAGCGCCACTTCCTGTTTTCTGGTGGCTAATTGAAGATAAGAGTTTCATGGACTTTCCTACCCTGGCTGGCTTTGAACCACGATCCTCAGATCTCAGCCTCCTGAGAAGCTAGGATTATAGGCACCACCCACCAATGCCTGGCTAGTTCAGTTTTTTTCCTAGTTAATTGGAGATAGAATCCCAAGGACTTTTCTGCCTAGGCTGGCTACGATTCTCAAATCTCAGCCTCCTGAATAGCTAGGATGATAGGTGTGAATCACCGGTGTCTGGTGACACTCTTTGGGTCTAACAGGTTGGAGTGTGGGAAGAGGGAAGGACAATGTGGGAGGAGAAAACTTTTTACCTGGGGACAGGTGTGGTAGCACAAGCCTATAATCCCAGCACTGAGCAGCTTGAGGCAGGAAGATGGAGAGTTTGAGACCAGCCTGGGCTACATAGCAAAATCTTGTCTGAAAACACCCAAAACAGAAACACCCTCCCAAATAAACAGGGAAAACAGGTGAGAGGCCTTCTTCTCTTACTTTCACATGGCTCTATCCCTGTTATTTCTCTGGTTCTGGTTTCACTGGGTGCACTGTGGGTAAACTCTGGCCTGGCCTGGGGGTTTCTTGGTGGGCTGGTCCAGCCTCTGTCATCTGGTCCATCTGTGTCCTTGAGTATTCTGGCGCTTTCCATCGTTAAGTCTCTGCTTAATGTGTCTCTTTTCCCCTTGCCCCCTTTTCTACCTAGTGAGGGCTGAGATCCTCAGAGGATCTCAGTGCTGGGCAGCCTTCCTGGCCCCAGGGTAGTTGATCTCCTCTGCTGCCTGGGAGCTAATGATCCTGTCTGCTGGGTCAAGAGCAAGCTGCCGCTTTTCCTGGCTTGATCCCCCCACCCCCACCCCAGGCTGCCCCACATTGTGGTGGCCAATGCTCTAGACAATGTGCATGGCCGCTCTGGGAGAGCTTGTGGCGGCAGGAAACCAGGGTAATTCTGAAAATTGAGGTCTAAGTGCTTCCGGCTGGCTGGGGCTTTGGATTTCAGAATGGTGGACTGTGTGTGTGTGTGGGGGGGGGGGCACTCAGGATCTTAGGAGAGGAGAATGGGGCCATTCCAAGGTCTTAGGGGTCCAGGTCAGAACACTGCGCCCAGCCACAGCTCTGGTCCTCATCACCCAGGTCACCAGATGCTGCCCCGGCTGTCCGGGCTCCTGGTTGTCATGACCAAGACTTTCTGCCCTTGGCCGGATCATGTGGGAAACTCTCCCCCATCCCCACTCTCAGACCCTGCCAGGCAGTCTAAGGGCTGCGACCTGCCGATGGCCCTCTTGGTTACCATGATTTAACACAGGACCTTTCTGCAAGAACTGCAAGAAGAAAAGAAGTCATGGGCTGCTGACTAGTAGCTCCTCTAGGAAGGGTAGGGAGCTAGACCTTGCCCAGCCTGGGTTCAAATCCCTCCTCTGAGTCAGAGTACAAAGCCGATTGGTGCCCCAAGTGTTCTAGGCCCTCCCCTGGATGATCAAAGCCTTGGAAACCACCAGTGGTTTTCATTGCCTTCTGCTCTCCACGAACCCCCCACAGCTGCTTACAAGCCTTAGCTCTGCCTTAAGTCACTCTTTCCCTGAGATCAGCTGGGCTCCAGGATGTCTCTAGATGTGCAAGAAGCAAACAAACTATAGGCTGCACATGAGCAAAAACCGATAAAGTCCCCAGAGCTGGCCCGGCCCCTGGCCCCACCGAGGGACAGGCATGGCCTCCAGCCTCACTGGCCTTTTCTGAAAAGTAAAGGCCCTGCTGTTCTTCCTTCCCTCCTTCCTTCCATGCTTTCTTCTTCTTTTCCCTCTCCTTATCCTTCTTTCTCTTTTTCTCCTTCCTTTTTTTTTGTCAGTTGTGGGGCCTGAACTCTGGGCCTGGGCGCTGACCCTCAGCTCTTCAGCTCAAGGTGAGCGCTCTACCATTTGAGCCACAGCGCCACTTCCGGTTTTCTGGTGGTTTATTGGAGATAAGAGTCTCACGGACTTTCCTACCCGGGCTGGCTTTGAACTGTGATCCTCAACTCTCAGCCTCCTGAGTAGCTAGGATGACAGGCGTGAGCCACCGGCACCCGGAGTCAGAACCTGGCTTGTGATGGTCTTTTAAATGACAAGTTCAAGTCAAGTCCTAGGTCAGTGTTCCTTGTTTCCTCCTCTTCCAACCCAAAGCTAGGTATGTGGCTCCGTGGGCAACCAACACAGAACTGGGTCTACAGCCTTGGTATAGGCAGCAATGGGGGTGACCTTCAGGAGGTCCTCTGGGTGGCCAGCACCAGGACATTGTGCTGTGCCAACCTAATCAGGGTCCCACAGAGCCGTCTTTGGAGAAATGTGACCAAGAGTGGCAAAAGGGGGGAGGTTTTTGATGAAGTAAGTTCAGGGTATGGAGTCAGACGATTCCATGCCTGGGACTTGAAGGTATTCATTAAGTCAGGCGCCAGTGGCTCATGGCTGTAATCCTGACTACTCAGGAGGCTGAGACCCAAGGACTGTGGTTGAAAGCCTGCTTAGGCAGAAGAGTCCATGAGAGTCTCATCTCCAATGAATCACCAAAAAGCTAGAAGTAGAGTTGTGGGCT